AAGTCGAGTTATATCCCGAAAAATTTGTAACAATTTTCGTCCCTTTCGGGGACTGTAGAACCGATTTTCACACCACTCGTAGATGAACAGTCGTCCTCCTGTCCTGGCGCACCTACTTCGATAAGTGTGAGAGGGACTCAGTATCCCCCCTCCGTTCGGTTCATGACATCAGAAGGCATTAGGTACATCGTGTAATACACAATGACCGTGAGAAATGCCATTCTTCAGGAGGTTTTTATGAAGAATGTGTGCTGAATCATTTTAATAACTTCTAAATCAAAGTATGGCTGTGACTTTCTGAAATGGCTGCCGCTAACCTGTGGCTCGAATGAATCCTCCCATTTAGAACAAACACATAACCATGCTACTTGTCCGTGGTCAGTAGTATATATTATTAGTTGAGACTGAAGTCTTATTTGGCCCTCACTTCTCCATGCTCCCATTACGATTGACCTCATTGGCTTTGAAGCAGAACTCCGAATTTCGGGGCAAAGTTTTTAGGTCGAACCTTTATTGCAGACTACTATATTTGGCCTGTTTTTGTCGATGCGTCAGACAATTCTGTCTCTCCCACAGCTTTTCGAAATGTGAACATTGTTGTTCTAATACCAGGCGAGAGTTCGGTGGAACGAGTACTTGAGATTATTCTGAAAATGTGCTTCGCGTCCTCCAATACATTATTATTGCAGTGACCAGAAAGGCGTTCAAGGTGGTAGGCAGCACGAGAATCCGATATTCCACTGACACAAAGGATGCATCGCCTCGAATCTCAGCCAGTGACCGCGCCAGTGAGGTTTATGGTGACAAAGCATATCTTGATTTGGTTGATGGAATCTCTCATTTGTGTTGTTGGAAAACACATGGTTCACTGTGACGTACGCCCACTATTCACGAATGTCGGTAGAACTCGTGTATAAAAAAGCATGCCAGTCAGATGGGTTGTGTTCAACCTATGCAACATATGCAGATTGGCAAAGGCAGTGTGAATACCACTCATTCAGACACAAGCTGATATTTGCATAGGACGTCGCTGACATCGCTTTCAAGCAAACCGAATCGAGTGAGGGCGCTTTATAAACAACCGGCTAGTGAGTGATTTCCTGGTGTAGAATCGATTTATCAGTACTCCACATGTCGGAAAAGCCTCACGCTCGTAGAGCTCTTTTTCGCCCTGTTCTGTGCTGCTTGGGAGCAGTGGGTCGAGAGTGTATGACTTGGCAACGAAGTGTGAAAGCACTAAATTTAGTCGGGTCGATTCCCCGGATAGAGACTCCTGGAATCAACCCAACAATTGTTACCGACAATGGCAGAAATGGCCCAATCGCGCGCGTTCGTCAAGGCGATCACATTCAATACGTACCTGCCCGGTTCCAGAACTGCCTGACCATTTCATTACCTCCAATGTACGGCTGCATAACCTACGTTCTCCCATTTCTCGGTGATCGGAACTGTAGCAGGTGGAGCCATTTTATCCACCATGGTTTATAGCTGATAAATCGAACTGAACTGATTCTCCGGGCTGAAAAGTTTTGAGGCATAAATGCTTCCGCCCCGTATAAACGGGGACTCGTTAATGCATGGCAGAAAGTCTACTATTAGTTTGTAAGGTTTAAACAACCGGTACCCACCGGTGGGATGGCCCAAGTGGTTAGAGCGCGAATTTACTGACCTCAGGGTCCGTGGTTCAAACTCGACCTCTGCCTCTCGACTTCCCCTGTCTAGGCTTGGGCGACCTGGCGGTATCCCAGCCCTCGTGCTTCCTTCAAGTGCCATGGCAGCTAAACCCCGAAAGGGTGCCACAGCTGAATGATCCATTGATTTGTTAGCCATCGAACTTAATCAAACGGCGAGATGAGGGTCCCACATAAAAGGAGAGAGACGTGTACCGAGTGAATAGAACCACAGACATAGTTAGCACCGTATCATGCTGACTGTGCAGAACCAGAAGAACATGTCAGCCGTTATTCTGCACAGAAATTGGTGCAATTTAACGGGATAAACCTTCAGGAGGCTTCTTCTAGCATTAACTACTTGGTCGGGCCAGCTTGTTTTCCTGGATCTCCGGACGCGTTCCAGAAAAAAGGTATCCCGTGACATGTCAACAATTTTGGCTCGTATGAGCACACATGCCTTCAATATCAGTAGTCCCTCATTATTCGACGGCAAAAGTGTTGCCTTCTGTGACCGCTTTAGTCTGCAGACAGGTTCGATCAAACAAGGAGAGGTTATATGACCAGTCTTACATTTCAGCTGACCCTTGACCGTTTGTCTTGCCCTTAGCTGTCTTGACTCGTCTACGCGAACAAAAAGCTTTCCGAATGTCTCATAACGGTACTCCTTCAAATGTTCGAAACACGAACAACCGATTAAAGACGCTTCTATTTTCATAAAGGAAACTACTCACCAGGTTGCTAAAAACTCTTCCACAGCGCACGACCGGTTTCGCGTTTCATGGGGCTCATGAGGTAGGCGCAGTCCTCGAGTTTCCGTCAACCTTATGTTCTACATTATGTTTTGTTTTTGGTACAGAAACTTCATCTTGTTAGTTGAGTAAGCTACCTGTTTGCTCGAGCTTTACCGACATCTAAGAGGTCTTTTTCAAGTATCGAGTTTCCTCAACCTTATGTTCTACATTATGTTTTGTTTTTGGTACAGAAACTTCATCTTGTTAGTTGAGTAAGCTACCTGTTTGCTCGAGCTTTACCGACATCTAAGAGGTCTTTTTCAAGTAGTAGACCAGATCAGTGTTGAATGTTAGTCAAAGCCCCGTTAGTGAGTATGGTTTAGCCAGGAATGTGTTCATTTCAATTTACTTCATGTTTAGGGGTACTTCCTTTTCTGTTCACGAATTAAGGCTACGACAATTTGTTTAGGGAAAATGGAAGAATGTGGGATTTCGGGCAGCCAATCCAAGCTGCCCTACCGCGCACACCGTCAGCTCGGTTATACCTAAACTACTTTCAGCATATTTGCTAGTTTTACGCCTTCCGTCCTTTTCGCTTTTGAATACTCGGCGAGTTCCGCTGGCTTGAACATAGACGGCTGCGTTACGAATCCTTTTTCCTAACTGCAAAAGAACTTACACCCTTTTGTAATAGACTACTCATAAGTTTGCTGAAAACACCTCGACAGCCCACGACCGATTTCGCCCTTCTTGGGGCTCATCAGGTAGGTGCAGTCCCCGAGTTTTCGTCAACCTTATGTTCTACTTGAAACCAAATTGCACGAAGTTAGCGAATATACACTCATTTGCAAACTAATTTGGTTTTTCGAGAGACTCACCTGAAACCCAGCTGGATCTCTCGCTTTTGATGTTTCTAGGCTGCACTAGGCCGCCTTATGTTTCAGTCGCTACGATATTCACTCTTTTTAAGACTCTATGCTGTCCCGCTTCTAGCGTCACCACCCAGTCTTCAAACGACACTTGACATTCATCCGCCTTCCTTGGCTGTTTGTTTCTTCCTTTGTGCTCACCAGCTCTCGTATACAGCTATTTATCTCTATGTCCTATTTGAAACCTCAAATGATCGTCAGCTTTTACGTTCTACAGTCAGTCTTTTCAACAAGAAAGTGCCAGCATCGTGCGTAGTCTTTCTCACTTCTGGAACGCTATCCTTGTGATATCCTTGGGCGTCTTTGTGTGAATCGTCATGCTGGGACAGATAGCTCCCTTAGATGTGCTCGCGAGTACTCGCATTCTTGAAATCTCGTTTCAGTTCACCTCAAGATATCCTGTTATCTATTTGATGTCTTGTTCACACGCTGCTCTCGTCTAACCAAACAGTGATGCACCAACGGTACGAGGGCGCAACTTGCATTCTCACTGACTTATGCAAAAAACGTCACTGGAAGTTGATCGTTTTGTGATTTTGCCTTCTGTGGGTTTGCACACCTCAGTAATGTACGAATACCTCTCGTTCAGCTGTAGCACTATTTCAGTGGCTAGCTGCGATGCAACCAGAAGGAGGCACAAGGAATGGTATACTGCCAGGTTGCCCAAGCTTAGACAAGGGAAGTTGAGAGGCAGAGGTCGGGTTCGAACCATGGACCTTCCGGTCAGTAAATTCACGCTGTAACCAATAGGGGCATCTCGTCCCATGCCTCTCTTTGATGTCATGCTACCCATCTACGTTCCCATATGCTCAAGGAACCAACCATTGAAGCCAATCTGTAAGGTTAGCTGGTTGTACGAAATATCGTGTGTGTTCTCAGGACGCGGACACAGCCAATTGAATCTCAGAGCACGTGACTGTTTTAGCGCTTGAGCTAGGACTTTGTTCTAAGTTCCACTCAAGTTGGATGCATTCTGTCCGAAAAACTCCCAATCAGATCCACAAAATCGATTCTCAACATCAGCATACAGATGAGTACTCAAAGAGGCTGGTGGCGGCGGATTTCGGGAGTTCGTCTTTCACTTAGGATCTGATGGGCGAGACGCGTATGACACAATCACAAGGTCATTTGTACAAGCCAACGGGTAGCAAAATTTGGATGGGAGAGTAGTATACTGTTGTGGTGTATTCGGGCAGTTTTCTTCGTATCATTAAACACTAATCGATAAACAAGTCCAATCGTCTCAACTGTTATCGGAAGGGGGTCCCTCAGTTAAAATCGCCCCGTACTCTTTGTTGAAACAAAGTGTGTGCAAAAGACACGTCCATGCCGGTCTGTTTCCGGCCATATCATCCACAGAATTAACTCCAGGTGAGCTGTGTCATTCGAACAGTACGTCAGGTCACGAAACAAGTACAACAAAGATCATTTTTAATTCCAAAGCACGTGTACGTTTGACGTGCAAATGCGTGACCAGTGCCTTGTGAGCAGAGGTCCTGTCGACCGGAAGATTGAATCATTAGTAGCGAGAAGACGACGAAAACAAGTGAGAAACAGAGAGGAGAGTGGACGTCCACTTTGATCTATGGTTGGCCATGCCTATATTGAACTGTTCAGTAAACTGAGCCTTGCACATCGGAAGCCTTGCACACTGGAAGACTTTGCAGATGTGGTCAACTCGTTAACGGCTATTTTGTTCCTGGTGGCCGGTGTCCTTATCACAGTGAAACAGTACGTTCTGAATTCTATTTCGTGTTACATACCAGTCAAACCAACCGGTGACAGCTACAATGACTTCCTTTCTAATTACTGCTGGGTTCATGGAACTATTCCACTCCGCCCGAACGAAGTGATGCCTCAAACTCCCGAAGTGTGGGATGAATATGATCGGCTACGTCGTATAAGTAAGTGAGCGTAAACGATTGGCTTTGATAATGTAAAAAAAGCGCTCAAAAACTCTCGCTCGATAGATGTGAGTGCATCCGATCAGGACGAGTATGACGTTGATATTAGAAACAGTTAAATTCATACGTATGGATCGGGCTGTGCACTCTGCTCTGACGGATAGAGCCATTCCCATGTCTTACACGGGCTATGACCGTTTCTTTTCAGTGTTAGTGTGAAGAGATGTCGCCCTATAAGGGAGGTAAATTCCCCACTCACTTGATAGAGGCTCCATGGAAAGGGTGGAAACGTTTACTCGAACCACTGTGCGTCTGACAAGTAGTTTGAATATTAGTCGTGAGCTCAGCAAGCCTTTGTCTCAACTTCCATGTGGGACAAACAAAGGGCGTCATTGAAAATGTCGTACGATGTCGTATCCCAGTCATGGGAAACGGCTTCATCTTATATGACGCCATCTTCATCACCTGGTACAGCTGCTTCACCCTTACTGAGAATTATCAGCAGTGCGAATCAAAAGAAACTCAGTTTCGAAGCCGACCAGTGGCTCAGACTTCAACCGTTCGGCCACGGGCGTCTAGCCATCATTTCGGTTAGCACCCATCATTCAGTCACAGAAACCTCATCACATGACTCCGAGTGACGACTTCTCAGAATGAAGTTTCACTCATCTTTTGTAAAATTATTCTTTACCGAACCTACTCACAAAACGATAGTAATATGAGAAAATTAGATAATTTAGGCTGTCTGCCATCGAAATATTGCTCACCTGTGCCATTCGCTCGTCCCTGAAGCAGTCTTGCCACCCGGAACCTTTCGAATGCATGCAGATGACAATGCTGACCAGCCAACCGAATCTGATAACCTATTTGCCGTGAGAATACTCAGGACATTTCGAAACCTCCCAAAGAATCTCATTAAATCGATTGTCAGTGCGATAGGTTCACCGACCCACGCACATAAGTTATGCAACAACTGGCATAGCTGCTGTACAGCTGGACAGACAACATGTCAACCGTAAAGGTCAATTTACGAACATGAACAACTGAGTTTGCACTCCAATTGTTGTTTTACATAAAAGCTCGGTCAGATTACATCAACCAGTTGAAAAATTTCGGTCGGTGACGTGAGCTTGGTTTCTGCGTGGATTCCCGCTTAGCTCGGAATGATCGGCAATGATTTTATCGATCTGTTCAATAAAATTGCCTATACGAATCGCATTTCTGTGGAGGATTTTGCCGACCGTATGAATTTGCTGACTGTGGTGTTTTTTATGGTGGCTTGTATCATCGTGTCGGTGAAGCAGTACATACTCAACTCGATTGCGTGTTACATACCGGTAAAGCCAACCGGGTCGAACTACGATGATTACTTGACCAATTATTGTTGGGTTCATGGAACTATTCCGCTACGTCCGAGAGAAGCGATGCCTCAAACTCCTGAGGTTTGGAAGTTATATGATCAAACGCGTCGAATAAGTAAGTCGATGGACCACTCTTATTTCACTTGCTTAGTACCACTTCGGTTTCTGCTACAGAGTATTTGAGTTTGTCCTCAAAGAATGCAAGCTTTAACAGCAGCTCCCTCTGTAGAGAGGTTCCTTGGGTAGACCTCAAAGGCTGTCAAATGCAGTCACGATTTTATGTGGCCCTGCTTCTCGAAGAGTAACCCTACTTACATGCTTCTGGGCATGCAGTCATTGAACACACCACTTACAATCCAGGGAGAGGTACTGGAAGTTGTGGAGCGTTTTACAGATCTTGGAAGTTGTATTAGTTCTAATTGTAATGTGACAGTTGAGGTGAATGCACGAATCTACAAGGCTCGGGCCGCGTTTGCTAACTTGAGACACCTATGGCGTCAGCATAGTTCATCCCTGAATCTGAAAGGACTTGTGTATCAAGCTACAGTACGGGCTGTTTTGTTGTATGGCTGTGAGACTTGGCCTATTCGAGCAGCGGACCTGAGACGTCTTCAAGTGTTCGACAATCGTTGTCTCGGAACCATAGCTCATGTGGGTTGGTGTCGGTGAATCCGTAACGAGGCATTTAGAAAGCGCGTTTTCGGTTGTGCAACGGGTATTTCCATTGAAGAATGTGTCCAGCACCAGAAGCTGCGTTGGTTGGGACATGTGTTACGTATGCCGAACCATCGTTTGCCGAAGAGAGTGCTGTTTTCCATGCCCAATTCAGAGAGGCGTAAACAGAGAGGTGACCAACCCTTGACTCGGCAGAGGAGTATGAAGGAGATCACGAAACGCTTGGGTGCTGTCGGTGCTACTCGTCTTCCAGGATGGGGACGGCGTGATCCTCACTGTGCCTGGTTGGAGACACTACAAGATATGGCTGCCAACCGATGTCAGCGGTGTTCTTGTTGTCAGTTTCTATCCAGATTGCCTGAGTGAGTGTCTGGAGGTGTAGGCACCTCGGAATGATTGTGGTAAGCTAGAACTATGTCTTTACAATAAGGCTTTCAAGTAATTCATGGTCGTACGGCAGTGAAGCATCGGTGTTGAACACTGATGTCATGCTGTCGATGATGATGATGATGATGATGATGAAACTTACTTGAAAGATTCCAATGCTTCTTTCCGGTTGGTGTGCTTCCAAAACGCTCTAGAGTATCTCTGTGGGCAGTGTGATTGGTGCACACGATTAGTGTAGGTGAGCTTAATAGCTAGAAATAGGTTCAGGGACCGAAATCCCAACATTGCCCGCTAGCCAACCGCTTGGGTCTTCCCCGAGAGAACTGAAGCTATTTGGTCTCTGGGAGTGTGTCCTGAGGGTACGTTGCGATTCCGTAGTCCTGCTTAGATTCTTGCAAAATGATGACATGTCGTCTTCACTTAGGATTCGTGATCAAGTGTTACACTTTTCAAGGTTGCTCTCTCTACTGAACTCCCTTGAGAGCCGTGAATCCGATGATGAGAGTATGGAACGCTCGTCCCGGAGGTCGTTAATGATATCGTTCTAGTGGCTGAAGGCACTGTGGTCATACTCTAGTGATAGTACCATCGCAGTGAAGATCGATCGACTGGATGAGGCTGGTCATTTATGGCGTGAAAACCGAACTTCGCCGAAGCCATGTATACAAGGCAACTGTAAGCGGGGTCTTAATTGGCCCCTCCAATCCAAGAACTCTGTGCGTCTTCAAGTGTTTGATCGTCGATTTCTCCGTACCAGAGCAATGCAAAGCTGGATGCAGCGTGTCTGCAGTCAGGTGTTGTGGTAGTGGGTGACGAAGCCAAATGGCTAGATCAAGCTTGCTAATCTGAAGTGGTTGGGGCATGCATCACATATGTGTGTACAACCACCTACCGAAAAAAGTGCTGTTTCCCGTTCCGAGCGATCACTAACGCAGGGCTTGCGAAAGACAGTCAGTGACATGCGAACGTGAAATCCAAGAGCCTACTGTCAAGTTGAATGTTATGGGAACTTCCCAACTTCCTGGTGATCCTGCTTATAGGTGTCTGGGAAGCCCGCGGGACAAGACACACAACCAGTCCCAGTGGTACAATTGCTGTCACTTTCGAACCGGACTTTCCAGCTACAGTTCTGTCGTTGTGCGCCAGGCTTAGATCGGATGAGGTTAGAAAAGGACTTCGGGTTGACCATACTCATAACGCCGTACTCCAACATGATGCTCAGATCTTTTTATTTTGATACTTTCCGGAGATATAGACATCTTATCCATGAGTGTCTTCCTTAAGGACATGAGGCTTTTTTATGACAAGTTAGTTTCCTTTTCGTTCTACTCTTCACTAAGGATTTCTCTGACACCTATCAATTTGGTTTTCACGAGAGACTCAACTGAATCTCTCGTTTATGATATTCTTCAACTGAATGTGCTGGACAAAGGCCACCTCTTGTTTCAGTTGGTACGATATTCCAGATGTCACAGTCTATTTTCATAATGGAAACCACTCACAAGGTTGCTGACTGCTCCTCGACTGTTCACGATCGATTCAAGCAGAACATAAGGTTGACGGAAACTCGGCGACTGCGCCTACCTGATGAGCTTTAAGAAGAGCGAAAGCGACCGTGGGCTGTCGAAGAGTTTTCAGCAACCTTGTGAGTAGTTTACTTTATGAAAAAGGCTTTCTTTGCTTACAGTTGTGTGCCAGTTAAGAGTGTATTGCTGTCAATGATGGATGGATTTGGTTTTGTTCGTTCCCCTTGGGATCTGCAGCGCATCTGAGAAAAGTATGGGATATCACGAGGGGTAGATTTACACTGAGACCATGAGATAGATGAAAGTTAGCAGAACCGTGCTGGAAATGCCTCCAGACACTCCTATCTGGAATTTCGTCCAGAATTAGAACAAACCTACGCCAATTATCACTTCACAGCCGAATTATCAGTGACTTTCAGGTTCACCTGTGCCATAAAACCACATAGTTTTCCGGGTTATCGCCACTGATTCTCTCGTTGCAAACCTCTCACGAGCACATCGTTATTGACTGAGTAGAGTAAGCCAGGGGAGCACAACATTGGATCGATGCTCTTCGGTCACGCGTTCCTGGAATGCTTCCTGATCTAAATCAAAAGTAACGTTTTAATGCTCACCTAAAGTCTTTTCCACAGCATTGTTCAACCGCCCATATTGCCGTCTTCTGGGTATGCAATAGGAGGTTCGAAGTTCAACACAATTTAACTGTTCTGTCACGCAGACCAGGCTACGTAGATGGCTGTTTGCTTGTAGGCTGAACTGCACATCTTGGTTCAAAAATTGTTGGAGGGTGGAATGTGTTTTTCTTCTGTGTTTCTGAGGTCTACTCATCACACAAGTCACGTACAGGGTTGGAAACTGATAGTAGATAAATCATTCAACGTTACTGTTGGGGGCGAGATGGCCCAAGTGGTTAGAGCGCGAATTTATTGACTGGAAGGTCTGTGGTTCTAACCCGACCTCTGCCAATCGACTTTCCCTGTCTAGGTCAGAGCGACCTGACAGTATCCCAGCCCTCGTGCTTTTTCCGGGTGGCATGGCAGTTAGGCACCGGAAGGTTGTTACAGATGAACGATTATTATTACTGTTGTAAAAAGCCAAGCATCACGTGACAAACAATTTGGCCTGATAGAACACACTACTTGTGAGACTAGTAAAGCCCTTCGACAAATCGGTACCGGTTTCGTCTTTCCTTCAGCTCAGTAAGAAGTGAAATTTAGCTGAATCTCAGTCGAGCTGTGTTGATTCTGATCGATAGTTATAAGCCAAGATTAAGCAAAAACATCACGAGATACTTTGAAGCAAAGTTATCACCCAGTGGTCATGAAATACTAAGGGAATTAGTTGTGTTCTGCCACAGTTTCGATGGAATAGTGAGAACATAGCATTCAAATTCTAGTTGTCGAGTTTTTTGGGTTGCGAGATCCGTAGATTAGATATTCACATCACTCTCGTTTCTTGGTGAATCCATACATTGGGGGAGGGGAAGCACTGGACTCGCTCTTTTTAGAGCTCATCAGTGGTACGCATAGTTTTGGCTGTCTCGGGGACAGACATCCGGACAACCCAAGTGCGAGGTAAGCGTGTTTCGCACTGTCGACCATCACACACTGAACGCAACTGAATCATCGCGTCTGAACAGGCGTTTGAGCGATGAGATTGGTTTGCCTCAGCATGGGGGTTTTGAAGCCGCCCAGCGCCCAAGAACAATGCACGTTGTGGAGTTTGCGACGTCCACCCTTTTGTGAACCGATCACAATCTGGGCCAGTCGATTGTATGTGCGTCGGTCGATTGAACACACCAACAACAGCGTTCAGATTGCTGCCTGAGCCATCATGAGTCAGTCCGAAAGCCGCCATTGGTCAAACACATCATCCAGTAAGAAACCACATGCATGATTCCGCGGGATTTCGCCATCATCTATCTTCGTTTCACTTGAACACGCACTGGATTCGGATTAACCAAATAAATGGCTTCACAGCAATTTCTGGATCTTTATGCAAAAATCAATGCGGTCAATCAGGTCGGTCTGGAGGATTGGGCCGATCGACTCAACTTGGCCACAGTCATGCTATTCGCCCTATCGGCTTTCATTGTCGGTGTGAAACAGTACATCCTGAACGACATTAGTTGCTACATCCCCGTTAGTCCGAGCGGAGATAAATTCAAAGAATTTCTGAACGACTATTGTTGGGTTCGGGGGACCATACCGCTTGCTCGTGGTGAAGTTTTTCCTGATAGTGAGGCGGATTTGGATGAGTATGACAAATATCGAAGAATCAGTAAGTGTGCTTGTGTGTTCCTCTGATTGTGTGCATGTATAACCTTCAAAAATCAGGCCAACACACGGTTAGATTGCAGGTGGAACTTAAAAGTCCACTGTCACTGCTGGGGCAGGCTGTTCGACTCTCTCTTTGGTGGCTTCTGTCACCTTTCAACAACAGTGCCTAACTGCCATGCCACCCGAAGGAAGCACGAGGGCTGTGATACTGCCAGGTCGCCCAAGCCTAGACAGGGGAAGTCGAGTGGCAGAGGTCGGGTTCGAACCACGGACCTTCCGGTCAGTAAATTGGCGCTCTAACCAATTGGACCATCTCGCCCCTTCAACACCAGTACGGGCCTAACCGCAGTGTATATCTATAATGATAGTAAATAAAAGAATAAGTTGACTTCTGTTGAAGGGCGAACCTTCAAGTCATTCATTTACAGGGTGTGGATCACAAATGCAATTTGTGATTCAAGGGAACACTCCACCAGAATTTCGATACCGCCGTTCGCTTCACGACAGATGGTCATCAGAAGTTGGACAACCTCGGTAACTGGATGATGGTTGAGCAAGCTAACCACACCCCAGTGATCAGTCACACATGGCCGAACGTCCAAATACCCGAGCCCGAGGGGTAGCAGATTCAAAAGTCCCAACTGCAGTTTCCTGATTAGCGCACTGCTTACGATTCCCCCCGGGGGTGATGAAACAGCTGTACAGTGCTTCTCGGTTTTTGGCACAGTCTGGCATCGTTTGTAGGGCGAAATCTCCACAGAATATGGTTCAGTAGTGGCCTGAGTAATAAACCGGGGGCGAGATAGCCCAAGTGGTTAAGAGCGCGAATTTACTGACCGCAAGGTCCGTGGTTCGAACTCGACCTCTGCCTGTCGACTTCCCCTGTCTAGGATCGGGCAATCTGGCGGTATCCCAGCCCTCGTGCTTCATTCGGGTGGCATGGCAGCTACGCACCGGAAGGGTGTTACAGCTGAATGATATTTATGCGTAATAAACCCCTGTCTCCAAAGTGCGCGTATGGGAATTTGGGCTGGAAGGGTGAGTGTGGTTTGCCCCGGTTTCCTGTCAACACCCTAACGACTGCAGTTAATGAGTTCTGGGCTGCTGACACTGTCCGACTCGGTGTGACGGAATCCAACATCTATGGCTTTTTTACACCCTCTGCTGGCATTTCTGCTAACGTGATCATAAGTAGGAAAACTTTGCTTGTGGAATATTTACGGAATACAAAGTCAAGCTATCCATTTTGGCTGTCCTCAAAATGTCTTTGGTTCACCACGCAAACCAGAGATTCAGCTGGGATCCAGGTGAAAACCACATTCATATGCAAATAAGTGTAGCTGTTGAAATCTATTCAGTTGGAACATAGAGTTGACTGAAGGGAAACCCTGGGACTGTGCTTGCCTAATAAGCCCGTAGTGGAAAGGCGAAACTGAACGTGGACTTCAGCAACCTTATGAGTAGTGCGTCCACAAAAATCATGCTTGCGAAACACTTACGGAATTCAAATTTTGACTATCCTTGCTGGTATTCTCAAGGTCACGGTGTAGTGGTCTTTCAAAGGTTCTTGATGACAAATGCTGATCGATTTTTGATGACGAGATAAGTGAAGGTGTGAAGCAACCATGGTAATCAACCAGAGGATGGAATTGCACTTAAAAGCGGTATGCGAGACTGACCGCGCACTTCCGTAACCTCCTAATCCAAGTTCAGACAACTGACATACAGCCTTGGAAACTAGAACCTCAGATATACCTTTAATTGAACTGGCGAAAATATGGAAGGCTTCGGACAGCGTGGATCCTGGACCCGGTTCCTTGGGGACCCTGGTTCCTGGGTGTTTTATTGTAGCTGGTATCTTTCTATGGGTATTAGCCAAGATTGGGAAAAAATAAGATCCATTTTATATGATCCCTCTAGTCATATGTAATCTCCTGAATGGTAAAAAAAAGTTCGCTTCAACTTTTTGTAACGCTCAAACAGTATCCAGTCAGAGACAAACTGACTTTTGGAGGTTGCGTTCGAAGGCGGGTTATGATCATCCTTCAAAACTGTGGCTGACCGGGCTTTCCATCCTGGACTGGCTTCATTCGATAGGCTGATCAGTCAATTCACTTTTCACTCCTCTGCTCTTCGAATGAAATTCGGCACCGCAATTACATAGTAAAAACCGCGGAGACTTCACTCTTAGCCTTATGCTCGTTCATCGTTTTCCCAACCGATAAATGGTTGGGGGATGGGCTGGTTTTAGACTGTTTAGGTTAGAAACAGAGAGAGACTTCCAGAGTTTCGGATTTCTCCTTCTACGGACGAGGGGCACGGAATACGTCATCCATGTTGCTCCGCACCAATCACCTCTTTCGTTTTGGAAACAGCCTTCAAATCGTCACATAAAATGCCATTTTCTAAGACGAGCACAGCGGACAGCATGGTATTCATCCTGTATGGACAAGCAACCCGCATTGCTGTCACCTACATACATATATATGTGTGTGTGTGTGTGTGTGTGTGTGTGTGAATCTGCTCTCATTAGCTAAAACTATGCAAAGTGTGTTAATCACTGTGCCGCTGAGTGACTGACTGTCGGATACACACACCATGCATCCAAAGAAAACCTGAAGCATAAAGTACTCGCTAAGAGAATCTACTTCACATGTGAATGTATTGGGTTCGGATTAATTAAATAAATGGCTTCACAGCAATTTCTGGATCTTTATGCAAAAATCAATGCAGCCAATCAGGTCGGTCTGGAGGATTGGGCCGATCGACTCAACTTGGCCACAGTCATGCTATTCGCCCTATCGGCTTTCATTGTCGGTGTGAAACAGTACATCCTGAACGACATTAGTTGCTACATCCCCGTTAGTCCGAGCGGAGATAAATTCAAAGAATTTCTGAACGACTATTGTTGGGTTCGGGGGACCATACCGCTTGCTCGTGGTGAAGTTTTTCCTGATAGTGAGGCGATTTGGGATGAGTATGACAAATATCGAAGAATCAGTAAGTCCTTCCCCGTTTGTTCTTGATTCTTAATGAATACGTGTTAGAATGCCTCGTTAGTATAGTCTGTGGTTAGAACTTGACCTGTGGCTCTCGTCTTTCCCTGTCTAGGCTTGGGCAACCTGGCAGTATCCCAGCCCTCGTTCTTCATTCTCATGGCATGGCGGTTAGGCACTGAAAGGATGTTAGAGCTGAGCGAGCTGGGGCAACATTCCCTTTCTGGTAACCATTAAGAATGCACTATGAGACATAAGATTTGCTGGGAAGTTGAACGTAACCTTTGGTCTAGAGGGTATAAGTTACCGCTCAAATGCAACTCACGTTTCAGGCTAAAGATGAAAGTGTACATTTGATGAAAGGCGTGGAACGAATCCTTTACATTTGTTTTGAGAATAGTTCACTCTGTTTCATCGGCATCACCGTCGCCATTATCATAGTCATCATCCGTGTTATCTTCAGCATGACCAGCCTTGTCATCTTCATCTTCGTGATAATCAATACCCTTCAGCCTCGAAAAAACCAACGTACACTGTGATGATGACGTTGGCGTTTTCTGTGGCTCACTAGGGAGCCGTATGGAGGGGTCATGGAACTATGTATCTCCGCCGATTCCGGTGCGATCAACATACAGATGTGTTGTGAAGCTGAGAAATGCTCATCAGTTCACTCCATCAACAACCGGGAAATTCAGATGGTTACTCGAAGAACGGGTGAAACATGCCCAGAGGGTTTGCATTTTTCTGATTTTCCTGTCGTTGGTGTCAGAATTCTGGTTCGATTGTCGCTCTAGAAAATATTGTTACTTTAGAATACTCATAAAACACACTTTGTAAGGCATAACACACTACTCAAAAGGTGGCTTAAAACTCTTGGACAGACTAGTTTCGCCCTTCCACTTCGGGCCAACCATTGTTGGCGCAGTCCCCCAATTTCCGTCCACCTTAAGTTGTACTTGAATCTAAGTTGAACGAAATTCGACAAATACATTCGCTAGCACACCAATTTGTTTTTCATGAGGGAATCATCTGAATTCCAGATGAATCTCTCGCAACACTTTGTTTCTCGGATGTAACGTACTACTCATAAGGTTGCTGAAAACTCTTGAACAGCCGACGACAGTTTTAGCCGTTCCTCTTCGAACGAATCACTTAGGTACCATCCCTGGGTTTCCGTCAATTCTTAGATTTTCTGCCTGAATTAACAAAATTCTGTCATTTGCACGCTAATTTGTTTTTGACCGGAGATTCAAACGAATCTGAACGAGAGATCCAATAGTGTTTCAGTTGAGACTCTTGTGGAAGCCAAATTTGTATGCAAATGAGTGAGTGCATTTGTCGAACATGCCCATAAGTTTTCAGAAAGGTCAGAGAAACCGTGTGCGACATCGCACCGTTTTTTGTGACACACTGACGTCGCAGTCCGGTCTCTGGTTTTCCACTTTATTTTGCTTTCATTGTGTGTACACCAAAAAAAGTCGTTCAGCTATAGCACTTTTTCGGTGCCTAACTGCCATGTCACCCGACGTTTGCACGAGGGCTCGGATACTGCCCGGTTGCCCAAGCGTAGCCAGGGGAAGTCGAGTGGCAGAGATCAGGTTCAAATCACGGACCTCTCGGTTAGTAAATTCGTGCTCCAACCACTTGGGCCGTCTCACCCCTTTACACCAAACATCTTGGGATAATCGTTTCAGAGGTTTTGTAAACAACTGGTGGATTTATTGCTAGACTGGGTTTTGCTTTTGAAACAAAAAATTCGTCAGGCCAAGTGAGTAAGTAAGCATGTTGATGAGGTCTTAAGGTAACCAGGGAACTAATCTGTGAGATTTCTTTTGACTTGATCAGTGCTAGGTGTCGGTCTGTAGTCCCTGTTTGTTGGTTAGTGAAGTTGACCAACATTTACCAGAGATTGGTTTGGGGGGGGGGGAGTTGTCTTCGTGTTGAAGACGGATTTCGCGGCCTTGCTTTTCCAGCCTAGGACAATCAGGTTCAATCACGGACCTCTCGGTTAGTAAATTCGTGCTCCAACCACTTGGGCCGTCTCACCCCTTTACACCAAACATCTTGGGATAATCGTTTCAGAGGTTTTGTAAACAACTGGTGGATTTATTGCTAGACTGGGTTTTGCTTTTGAAACAAAAAATTCGTCAGGCCAAGTGAGTAAGTAAGCATGTTGATGAGGTCTTAAGGTAACCAGGGAACTAATCTGTGAGATTTCTTTTGACTTGATCAGTGCTAGGTGTCGGTCTGTAGTCCCTGTTTGTTGGTTAGTGAAGTTGACCAACATTTACCAGAGATTGGTTTGGGGGGGGGGGAGTTGTCTTCGTGTTGAAGACGGATTTCGCGGCCTTGCTTTTCCAGCCTAGGACAGTTTAATGGAAAATTCCTCCTGGGGGGTCATTCACAGATCTTGCTCACCTGTGTTCATCGAGGGGTGCCAAGTTTGATGTTGGGGATTATTAACTGAATCTTACTCTGGTTGGATTTCGTACTTTTAGACCCAAATCACTTTGCTGATAAGTACTTTTGCAATAATGGACTGCTCTGTCCAAGATCTTCAACTTTCTTATTTTTTTGTTATTCAAACCCTTCTTAACGCTTCTTATTATCGCCTCGTGCTTACCTGCTCCGGGAGTAATTTTCTCGCGTCTTACACTAACCCTGTATCCAGTTACCGGTGTAGCTTCACGTGACGTGAATTTTTCACCCAGAGTATGCACACCAAAGGTTACGTGTTCACTTGTTTTAAAACCTACTGGCGGCATCCAATCAATCGATATTTCGCCATGGATACCAGCGACGGATAGAAGGGGATTCCTTTAGCACACTACTCATAAAGTTGCTGAAAATTCTTCGACGGCCCACGACCAGTTTTGTCCTTCCATTTTGGGCTCATCAAGTAGGCACATTCCCCGAGTTTCCATCAAACTTACGTTCTACTTGAACCCAAATTGATAGAAATTAGCGAAACACACGCATTTGCAAACATACTTGGTTTTGCGAGAGACTCACGTGGAACCCAGCTGAATCTCTCGTTTACGACGTTTCTAAGCAGCTGATTTCTTCAACTCTTGATCCACTATTTTCCTTGGCATTATTAAGGATTGTTCTGGGTATCGATTTCTTTGGACAGTATGCATACAAATGGCTTCCAGCTTTGGGGGCTATACGCGAGTTACGATAAAGTACTAATCAACTACAGATGAATAGTAACCAGATAGGACCAGAAGTATATATTTTTGCCAGTTCAACCTTTCGGTGCCTAACTGCCATACCACCAGAGGGAAGAACGAGGACTGGGATACTGCCAGGTTGTCCGAGCCTAGACAGGGGAAAACGAGAGACAGAGGTCGGTTTCGAACGACAGACCTTCCGGTTAGTAAATTCGCTCTCTAACCACTTGAGCCATCTCGCTCCCTCCTTCAACCTTATGTTCTGCTTGAACCCACATCGGATGAAATTGGACAAGTACACTCTTGGACGCGAAATTGAGGAAAGTAGTGCATCTGCGATAGATTTAGGTTGATATCCTAGGATCAGCAACCCAACTGGGTACGGAATGACGAAAGGAACAGTGGGAAAACTATATTCTAGAGACCCCCTATGACCCATGTGAGACGTTTCCGTTTTGCTTGAAGCAACTAGCAGGATTGGCTTTCGGAAATGCTGTCCCAATTCTCTTCCAAGTTGTCAATCCAAATGTGTTTCAACCATCAAGAAGAGTGGTCATCAGTCATCCTGGAAGCATCTCCTTGAGTGAGTTGCTGACGAAAACCTATGAAATTTAGGGATTTCGGCAACTTATGGTCGTGTAGCATTGTCCAGTTAGATCCAACGGGCCGTCACACAAACGGTTACGATCACTTTATATCTGGCCGCTGTGATCTGCATGCTATAATGATCTTGTGTCGAGGGGTCCCTCGTTCACACAAACAGCCTTGTCAGTTCGGTGATAACTTCCGCACACGGATGCACAATTCGTGTACCGATTCGAACCAACATGATAGTTTGTTTACTTTAAGGCTGTTCAACAGGCTACACCGGTTGGATGTTAACAATGTGGCCACTTTCTCCGAGCTAGTATAAATTGTCCGTGGTCGAATGAACTGTGCAATGGACAGCAGAGCAGCAGAGCAAGCGCATTGAGTATCTCGGAAGGGTTACTTTCACGCCATGGTTGCAAAAGAATTTATCGATTTCTACAACTCCATTGCCTACACCAATCGGGTAGCAATCGAAGATTTTGCGGACCAGCTCAACCTGTTCACATGCATCTTGTTTCTCATAACGGCCATACTAATTTCGGCAAGACAATATCTATTGAACGCAATCTCTTGTTATATTCCGGTGAAGCCTGCCGGGGAGAATTTCAACAACTACTTGACCGACTATTGCTGGGTACACGGCACAATCCCTTTGCGTGCAGACGAACGGACGCCATCGACAGAACAGGACTGGGATTTGTACGATGCCACACGGCGAATAAGTAAGTCATCCACGGGCACTGGGTGATGGTTGTTACAGCGGTCCTGATAGACAGCACGCTGGTTAGACTGATTGAGATTGCTCTTCCGGGGGGGGGGGGTCACGTTTGGCGGGAAAACATCTTTAAGGTTTTTGTTGACCGTTCAGCTGTAGTGCTCGTCTGGTGCTCCGCCTAAAAGGAGCATGAGTACTCAGTTACTGCAATCGAGGTGCCGGAGTCGGGTTCGAAACACGGACCTTCTTGTCAATAGGTTCGTGCCTTAAACACTAAGCTACCTGGAACTCCGATTTTATTGATTGTTGAGTCTTGTGCCAGATAATCCAATTCTAGATACGATCAGTAAAAAAGATAGCTTTCTTGGTATAATTAGTTTCACCTATCAACCTCTCAACAACGGACGGGTAGTCCCGCCTAACGAACATCAATCCCTCTCTTTAAGGTAGCAAAAATGGCTCTTCATTTGGTACTTATTCACTACCGTAATAACTCAGAGTTGTTCGAGATGTCTCCTGGAATTGTCACGAGTCTTTGTCTGGTTGTTTGGATTTTGGGGATTGAAACTTCACATTTCTGGTGGGTAATCGTGCCCATAGTAATTTCGTCTTCGTTGTGGAGCGAGATGACTTAGTGGTTAGAGCGCGAATTTACTGATTGGGAGGTCCGAACCAGAACTTGGCTCCGCTCGATACAGGTTCATCTCCGCAAGATTGTGATAGTTGTGGAGCTGACTTAGTGGTTAGAGCGCGAATTTACTGATTGGGAGGTCCGAACCAGAACTTGGCTCCGCTCGATACAGGTTCATCTCCGCAAGATTGTGATATTAGGGAGTTGGGCTTGAGACGTGTAGAATTGAGCGTGGACTAGATAACACAATCCTTCCGAGTTTAGCGTCTCGATTCGCTCAGCCAGTTGGCTTCCCCAAGCTGTTGGATATCACTGTTTAAAGTACTGTTGTTGCGTTCTTTTCAAAAAACTCAGGAAGACCGGATAGTCTGCTGTGACAGCAAGACAGTCGTGTTCTCCTTCAGCTGTATCGAACAAATTACGCAACATTGTGAATTTAGTTCGTGTAAAACTTTCCATCCTATGGTGAGCGGCACGATTCAGGATTACTTTCACACCGTCATGCGACAACGTTGTCTGGGACTTCAGAGACCCAATCACTAAAGTCATGTGAATCTATTTCACATCGAATTCGAAAAGTACAGCTACTCATTTCATACTTGGTTTCTGAGGATTACACTGACTGTCGTGATCAAGTTTATAAAAAAAAATTGATCTGAGGAGATTTCGCAACTTTCAACCAAGATTTCGTCTTGTCGTTGACGCCAGTCTATATTGAAGACTCGAGGAGCACTGTACAGCTGTTTCATCCCTATTGAAATTCATCAGTCTTGAGCTGAGCTGAGCTCCATGGGGAGTTTTCAACCCACAGCAATCTGGCCAGTGGTTGAACACGTGACCGTTTGACCACTAATGGCTGCCCAGCAGTTTGATTGGCTCTCACTTTGACAGGACACATCGTTCAATCACAGAAGGCACACCAAGTGATCACATATTGATTGGACCTTCGAGTGATGACTCCTCAGAATGAAAGTTTCACTCACCTCGCGAAATTCCCTCTAAGCCACTAACAGATTAATTTCTGTGTACTTGACTAAACTGTTTTCCCCCCTAGGTTCGCCGTAATGTAGTAAGAGCATCCTAAGATTTTATTTCACTTTTTTTCTCAGTCTTGCGGTCATACTGTAGTTGTATTTGGTTTCATCCGCTTCAACGGAACCGACCAATGTCAGTTGGTTTGTTCGTTGAGTCCGGAAATTTGGTTGCAAACGTTTCATCGCCAGGCGAATTTAGAACATCAGTGCGTTTTGGGTGAAAATGCGTTGACTCACGTCAGCTCAACAGGTGACGAAACCAGGGCAATCGAACTGCCGAGTTCAGTGAACAAATCAACGGCCATTTTTGCAATCTATGCTTCCAATGTTCTTTTTAGTTGCGGAACTCAGTTTTGCTCTAATTGTTCGTTTATGTCCCGTATAACCATAAGATTGTCGCACTAGCGGCACTTTGGAGACACCAGGTTTGTTGCAAGTCCGATAACATAAGCCGGTCAAAGAATGTAACATGGAGTGTACATGAACGAGTTGGTAACCTACGGGACCCGCAGGTTAACTTTGCAGCAAACAAAAGCACTACAGTCCTGTTCAGCCATCGACCCGGAGCATCCTCTTCTGGGTATTTTGTCCTCAGTCCTGGTGGACTGACTAGAGCCTTCATGTAAAAGTGCTTCCTCCGGATGGTCCCCTTCTTTCTCTTCACCCAATATCCGTAAAGTGAACTAACATAGGTGGTCACATCGGTATCTTTTCTAGGCACGATTGCCTGGTACACCGGATGTTCAACTACCTCAAACCTTTCGTTCTTGTGAGCACCTAACAAGCGGACTTAGATTGAATCCTGTAAGTTATGACGTCTTGGTGAGACCGAGACTTGTGACTTGTATTCTACTGTTGCTATATGTAGATCCCATTTGAGCATAAAAACAAAGTGGTGCATACAGCAGCTTCCAAAAACTACAGAGACATCTCAAGAAATGATTCTCATGGTTCGATTCTTGTTCTCCTCTAACTTTCATCATGATAACTACGAATGGCGATCGACTCTCTACTAATGTGTTGACCTAGTTAGAATAAATTGCTGGTCCAATCTGCAAAATCAGGCCATAACGCAAGCTTTGTCTATCGATGAAATCACATCACATTCACGTTGTACTCTTTCTGTCTCTGCGCGCGTGCGCTCGTGCCCCCCTCTGCACTACAATCGTTATCTGGAATTATTGATGTATGCAGATTTTCTTGCTAGTCCATACGCATGCACCGGAAAGAGGGTTCGTCAAACTAGTTATGAGCCCATATCGATTTTCTTTGACACCCCCACTCCACAAATCCGCTCGTTATCTGGCATGCCTCAATGATGGACACGTATTTGGACCGATGCTTCAGTGCACAACTCGTCTTTACTCTGGCCTTTTAGGATGACTAAATAAGTGGTTATCTTATACCACTGGTCTTTCAGCGTTTCAAAGGCGCTTTCAGACAGAATGGATCGATTTATATCTGTGAAGCCCACGTGTTGGAATGGAAAATACGCACAAGTGAGGTCTATTGGGTGATGACTATAATTCGAGACCACTTTTTGTTAGTCAAACTGCGAAATAGACTAACTTGAAAACAAATTTGGTTTCTCGGGGAACTCACCTGCCGAACCCTGCTGAATCAAGCTACTGAGTGTGCTGCACCAGGCCGCTTCATGTTTCAGTCGCTACGATATTCGAGATAGCACGATACACGTATGGTCGTAGTGCACTACTCATAAGGTTGCTGAAAACTCTTCAACAATCCACAACAGGTTTCGCCCTTCTTGGGGCTCAACAAGTGGGCGCAGTTCCCGAGTTTCCGTCAATCTTATGTTCTACTTGAACCCAACTTCAAGTTGTGCTTCGCTCGGCAGCTGCATGGTGTGTTAGGCGCTTCGGAAGTCAGGATATTCTAAACAAAACACGCGAAGCGGTTGTTCACGGAAGTTGTCAGTGTGACAGAACCTAAGCTAGTCTTCTACTTTTTTTTACTGACAACCGCACTTCGCCTCTTGTCATCTTAGCTGATCTAAGAGAGCTGTCTCGACATTACCCAGTTCTTCTCCTGTTCTGGAAGCGAGACAGCTCAGTGGTTAGGGCGTGAATTCACTGACCAGAAGGCCCGTGATTTGAACCCAACCTCTACCTCTCGACTCCCCCCGTCTAGGCTTGGGCAACATGGCAGTATCCGAGCCATCGCGTTTCCTTCTGGTGGAACGGTCTGTTAGGCACCGAAAGGGTACGGCATCTGAACGACGCCTGTTCTATTATTCACGTTGCAATGCTTAGCGATTTCAAAAACCTCAGCCACCGGTTGCTGTAGTCTGAACCCTAGTCTTATTCTCACAATCTCCACATATTTTACAAGTCGAGTCTGCGCCCGGAGTCCCGGTGTATGCCCTATCATTGCCGAATCTATAACTATCGGTTGATATTCATCTTTGTTTTTCTGAGTGGTCTCTTTATGTCCCCCAGCTTATGCTCACTGAGTCTAATGTGCAACTTCTTGGCTCTTTGACCTATATATACGTTCATGCGGTCCCCGGTCCTATCAACCAATATTAGGCATAAATATGTTTCCTTTTGAAATGCGACTTTAGCGGTATCCGTATTCAACCTCCTATTTACGACCCCCAACGTATCTGTTTTGTATGAGATGGCTGGTATTCTGACCCACTCCTTGTTGAGTCTTGTTACTGGGACCATTATCCGGTTTAAGTAGACCCACTGGATATCTGATGTCTCTCATTTACTTCAAACTGTGCAGCTTTTTAATCGACCTCTTCTGTACACAGTACTCTTACCCTACTAAGCATGAATGAACGTGTAATAGTATACTAAACAACCCTTGGAGGTGCTGACGATTCTTATCAGTGTCTGTCGTTTCCTGATTTACCACCTCTTTGAAACGATGACTACTCATTCGGTTCCTTGTTGATTGGGCAACAAGTTCTTCCTGTGTGGAACGGAGTTGTCAACTTGAGTTTGAGCGTCAGATCTGGCGAGGAAGTGCTTCGATGTTCGCCGAGTTCGAAACTTACAGGAAGCTACTTTCTTTGAAGCACCGAACAAGGTCAACAGAATTTCATGCGCTGTACTCAGCGTCGCCGAGAGATGAATTCGCGGAAGGGGAGCTGATAGAGCCTAGTTCGTAATTGGGATGAACAGCAAAGAGAGCGTAGAGTGAGGCGAATCACGAGGGAGGGAACTCTCATGGCTTGGGAGTCTGCTTCTGATGAAGCCGACAAGAACGTCATCAGTGCATCAGGACAGTTAAGAATTACCCATCTGCGTCTCAGTAAAGGTTCCAGTTTCTCTACAGAGTACACACCATATTTCAGAGGTTAAGCTCTTGCCTCACACAAATCGAACTTTTCACGAGCTCTGTGGTCCCGATGAAACAGCATCTAACGAGTCCATAAGGGCACTTTTCTTGGGTGTACTTTGGTCAAACTTGTTTTCCGGAGCCACTAGCCTGATTGAGACATTGATGAGTCGTAATTCCGTGTATGAGAAAACACGGAGCCATATGGTGTACCTTGAAATTTTGCAAGTACGCTGTTGTGAGCAACCATGACGGAGGGTGTTGTTGTGTCTGGACGAAAATTTAACACGTTCTATCTTAGAAAAATCGTTCACCTGTGACTAACTGCCATACTATTAGAAGGAGGCACGAGGGCTGAAATACTGGCAGGTCTTCGAAAGCTAGACGGGGGAAGTCGAGAGGCAGAAGTCGGGTTCGAACCACGGACCTTCCGGCCAGTAAATTCGCACTCTAACCACTGAGCCATCTCGCCCTCTCGTTCTATCTACATCACTTGTCTACACGAACTGTGTGTCGCCTCTGCGAGCATCAAATTGGTGCCGAAACTGGTATTATTGTAACATTAAAAACCGGAAGAATAATCTCACTCATATCTTTCACACTCAGGCCATTTATCGATCAGAAGAAATAACATGTCCTTGCGTGCTGTGACTTGAAGGTCTTCTCCATAGTACACCATACACACGTGATCTGATTCTAGCAGCTTGATAATAAACGGGAAACTCTTCACATCGCACCCTAAAAATTGAACTTTTTAGTGCATGTTGCTACAACTGTACTGTACATGCCCCGTGGAGCGGGTGAGATCGAAAGATCACTCGCCAATCTCACAGTTAGCGTATATTTTTCACTAACAACTTACCGGTGGACCGTTTACAGGTACTGTCATGGTAAGCATTTTAGTTGTCCACACCGGATTTGACAGTGGACTGCTGGGTACGCAGGTGATGAAGCCGGATTCGGGTGCCGATCCGCTGACCGTGTGGATGTTAACACCGTATTGTGCAAAGGAAATTTGGAAATGTACCGAAATAAGGCTTTCATTTGGTAGTTGATCAGGTGTTCGTTTATCTGTTCAGCGACAAACTGCAAGCGAATGAAAGGCAGACAGACCACGACGAAATACAAGTTGGCGCCGACCAATCGGAGTTAGAATAAAGATCTCCGAACGGAAGCCACACATTGGCTAACAGAGTACAGGCCACAACACAACCTAATCCGGCCTGGATCAATGGGACTCCGGGAAAGAAGCGTTCCGGTTGACCAATCACAGCAGTAGTTATCAGCTAGTCTTTGAAAACGACATAAACTCAAGCAAAAATTACCCACTCGACCGCACACTGGTAATGTCTCCTCGATTGGTGACGAGACGTTGTCAAGCTTGCTGAGTAGCTCAACGGCCACCTGAGCAAACACCGCGGTAAAAGTGCGTTGACCATTAGCCCTCTCCCCACATGAAGCTCATTTTATCTTTCTTTGGTTTCCATAAGCAAACGGTTGCTGTTTTCGGCTTTCCTGTCTCCAACATTTCATTGTATAATGTGTAATAATAGTTGTGTATTCGGTCGGACAACCTGTCTTCCCACGAATTACCACACCCCAACTGAGACAACTTGCGCCACCCACTTCTATCTTCAACATTTTGTTGTATGATGTGTATTGTTAGTTGTGTGTTCGGTCGAACAAACTGCCCCCCACGAGTTACCACACCCTGACGGAGACAACTTGCGCCTCCTCTCCCTTGAGTGTTCTTCGTTCATGAATGGGGGCAACGTGTAGTGCGTCTCACGTTGTTGACGGTTCATTCATCTCAGTTTAATTATGTTAGAAACGCGTAAAAGGACGCAGCTATCTTTTAGGTGTTGTCATCTTTTTAAAGAGGACTTGTTCAGCTGAGAATGACTAATTGATCTGCTGCCATATGTTGTCTCTGAGTAGGCTGATCTGTTTTCGTCACATTCCGAGAATCTGTGTTATAACTCCACTTACAGGACTGTAATTTTTAGGTCTAGGTACTCTAAACACAACAAGTTCCTCTGGGGTTAAGGCGTAAACTTACCGGCCAGAAGGCTGTGAGTTCTTCGAACCCGACTTCACCATTTTTACTACTCATGTCTGGGCTTGGGCAACCTCGCAGTATCTCAGCCCTCCTGCTTCCTCCGGTTAACATGACAGCTATGCACCGAAAGGGTGCTACAGCCAAACACTTCCTTATATTTGATTGGTTGTGCACACAGATGCTTTCAGATCGTTGTGAATGGAAGGTGGGCAGGGTTTTGTGAGGTACCAGCCACAATACAGTGCGTTTACTTCTCCACAGGTTTGCTTACTGCTCACCCTCTTTTCTTACCATCTTTCCGCCCCCTTTTTCAGCGTACTACCAATGGGTTCCTTTCGTACTTGGATTACAATGTATCCTGTTCTACATTCCGCACATTGCTTGGCAAGCCGTATGTGCCCAACGATCCGGAGGTGATCTGTTTGCTTTGGTGAAGTCCGCAGCCGAGGCGGCCACCTCAGAGAGAGGAGCTCGTGAGAAGCAGGTGAAGCGTGTCGCCGAGTTCCTGGAAGATATGATCGATGGCCAACGAGACTGTCACAGGGTAAGCGAGTACTACTAATAACAAATAGTACAACTGCATCTATTTTAATTACACTGCACAACCAATAATAATAGTAGTAGGATTAGGTGCTCTAATTGGTGATATTCTTTGGTCGAATATACTGCATCTGAGCCGCTTCGTTTTGACCGTTATTCAGAATGTCCAAAAACTGATTGGCAAGTTAGATGAATGTTGACGAGCTACCGAGCCAATGGGGATTCGCGGACTGGTCCTATGTGACCAATAGGAACAAAACCGAGCTTTCGTTGTCCAAAATTTTCACTGACTAGTCAAACGTATTTCAGTTTTTTGGATATCCTTCTAACATTAGGCGGCCAATGGGTTGCACATTTACCTGGACCAGAGCTTCAGACGAAATTCATCTGTCCAACCAGGTTAACTTAAGGATTACTTGGTACACCATCGGCAATATACGGGTATCAACTCATACAAAGTTACTACGCCTGTGTATATCATGCAAGGTCTCTTGGACAATATGGATTGATTGAATTGAGGCTGTACCGTGAGTTTCGGAGCAACATCTCTGGTGATTTCAGCAGGCAGGAAAACGCAGTCAATTAGTAACGAGTAGGCCGCTAACTAGAAATCAGCTGGCTACATTTACCCTTGACATCAAGCATTATGTTATGTCCTTGTGTTCACCCAAACCTGGATGTGGTTGACGGCACAGAGGTTCTCTCTCTGATTAGTGTTCACCAACTTCATCGTCTATGATTTGATGAGATATCAGGTGCACTAAATATGTAACGTGACAGTCGTTGCTCGTCAGAGAGCTCTTATCGAGCTGGAGAAGCCAGTATTCGTAAATTTTGAAGATGAACGGAAGGGGCGTGTCCCATCAGGCAAACAGCCGTTCGGAGTGGACTTTGCGACTACAAAATGCATAGTCCTGTCTCAGGATGTCCATGCACTCACACTTCAGAAAGAAGCCTTTAACTCTCCCCAACAGTACCTGATAAAGTCAGTGGAAGAGCCGCCAATTAGTGCCACTTTTGGCCTAGCGTTGAGTCTCAAGGATCGCGTGTACTGCCAGTTGGGTTTTATGAGGTTGCGAAACATGAACTTTGCTGGGTAGGTGATTCTTTGTGCACCGATGCCTCCAACCACCTCCTCGTGTTCGGTGACCAGTCTTTAAGGAGGTTTTCTGGAAGCAACTGCAACAAACACTGCATTTGCGAAGAACATCCAACTTGATATGCTGCGGTGTGAGATCGTGTCGTCTATGAATGTTGTCCCCTTCATTACCCCTAGGATGAAACACGGCGCAAGGCCAGCACGTGATTGGACAGAAGCATGAGTAAGGTTTCACCGGAAGTTTTGTTATTGCTGGTGTCGTTCGCAGTCGTGGATGAAGGCTTCATCTGTGACTGGCTGAAGGTGCTGGCTAGTTGATTTTATTAGCGTTTTTACTATCGTCTTCTGAACAGATTACTCACCGGAGTGTTGGGAAATACAATCGTCCCTAAAAATGGACAAACAAATACATTTCGTGCTTGCCTGGCAGCAAAAAATTTGCCTTCAGCGCCAAACTTGGTGCCTATGATGCTGATAATGATGGCGTCCACGTCGGTGGTGATACTGGACAAGGTCTAGTGTTCTATTTCATAGACAAGAATCCAACCCGGGCAGCTCGACTGCTCCTGTCTACTAGGCTCGGGCAACCCGGTAGTATCTCGGTCCTCAGGTTTCCTTCAGGTGGAATGGCAGCTAGTCACCGAATAGGTGTTAAACGGTTTTTTAAGGAGTGATATTCATTGTTTTCTTTTTCATGCTTCAAACGTTGAATTTCCTAACAGCCATGCTTTACTGCCATGCCATCCGAAGGAAGCACAAAGGCTAGGATACTGCCAGGTTGTCCAAGCCTAGACAGGGGACGTCGAGAGGCGGAGGTCGGGTTCGAACCACGGACCTTTTGGTCAGTAAATTCGCGCTCTAACCACTTGGGCCATCTCCCCCCTCCCACTATGCGTTAGTAACACACGTACAACAGTTTAACCACAAACTCTTGGTTCTAATGGACGCAATGTTCCTTCTATCCTAGCCTTCAGCGCGTCGAAGACTGGAGCACCGTGCTTACGAGATGTGTGGAATTTGCGTGGTCAGCAAACGTCTGGGCACCTGTTTGGTCTTCTCCTACTTGGCGGTCAAAGTGCTCACCATTGTAAATGCAATATTACAAGTCTACCTAATCCAACGCTTCCTCGGTTTCTATGCGGACGGCAGCTCCGGTCACAAATCTATGGAGTTGGGAAAAACCTACGATAGTGATGGAGCAGGTAAGCGAAACGTACCTCCCCCTGGTATATTTTTTCGGTAGCTTGAAATGTGAGTCCCGGTCATTCCTTTTGATAGGGTTCAAGTCCTCAAGTCCAATTTCTTTATACTTCCATGGAAGCCCTTTAGGAGTCAACGCTCTTCAGGAGAGAAGGATGGACCGGGAACCAACCAAAGCCGTTTATAGTGGATGGCTTCGACAACTGAAGAGTCGTTCTAAAGTCTTAGTGGATAATTACACCTCTGTTGCTCAGCTTCAGTGCCCGTATCTGACGTAAACTTGCCTGGTCGTACCTGGTCGTAACGCTGTTCATTGTACTACCTGATTTTGAACCCGGTCAGACCAGGATCGTTTTTGGCGGTTCGCACTATTCGTTGCACATTTCTAGACATACTCAGGTCTTTGGCTGGTGGAATCGACTGGAATCAACGAATTCAGAAGGAGTTAATCAGGATGAAAGAGAGGGCACTCCTCTCTTGCATCCAGCAATCCAAGCTAAGATGACGGCCGTGTGTTACGCACGCCGAGTTACCTGATAACGCTGAGAAGAGCACTGTTTTCCTTCCCTAATTCGAAGGGACGGAATCCTAGAGGTGAGCACAGTTTAACATGTCAGAAAGAACGAAGGATGTTATAAAAATCTTGGGTGATGTTGGTGCTGTTTTTCTTCCGGGACAGAGTACACGTGACCTTCCTGGTGTTTGGCTGGAGACACTGAAAGACACGGGAGCTAACCGATGTCAGAGGCGTTCATTCTGTCGGTTTCCATCCAGATTGTCTGCCTAAGTGTTGGGGATGTAGGAACCTCGGATGTTTGTGGTGGGCTATCTCTGGGTCCCCCCACCCTGCCCCATTTCTTTCTTTACATTTCAAGGTCTGCTCGGCTGTACGGCAGTTGTTTTAAATGAGGAGCGATCATCTGCCTCTTCAACAGTGTGTTGTTTTGATGAACTCCGCTTATTTATACAAATTGTACTAGCCAAGCAACCGGGGCCGAGCACTAACAGAGAGGTAGAGAATCACTTTGCACTTTTTAGAGATAGAAAATTTATGAATCCCATAGCTTAGCTTGCAAATCACGACTGATGTCGCTGGCCAGTCCGATAAGACCTATACTCAAATCTAGTGAGCTAAAATCTCAGCCATAGAAATTCTAAAAACCTCGCAGCAACCTGCAACTAATCGGAAATTTCCCGGGGGTTCCAAGGATCTGTGGTGCTACCTGATTGGGAAGTCCTGACGGTGGGTCTGTAAGTTGACACTTCCAGGAGATGCATGTGGGGGTGTGTGGGAGAGGTTTATTGTTCAGTTTCACATCACTCTCGTTTTGAACAGTTGTCCTCTTGTCCTGGCGCAATTATTCATGCGAATCCACACCAAAGGGGGGGGAAGCAGTAGACTCGAGTTTCGCTCTTGTTAGAGCTTATCAGCAGTGCATATCCAATGGCTGTGTCGGGCGTACTAATCACATCGCTCAAGTCAGAACACGTTCGCCCGTTCAGACGTGAAAATTTATGTGCCTCCAGCGTGTGTTGGTGAAACAATGGTAGGTAACATGCTAGTCTCGCATGCCAGATATCCAGAATTCGAATCCCGACCGGCATGGCCAAGTATGTGCGCTGTGATGAGACCCAGATTCGAGTCCACTGCTTTCCCCGTTTGATGAGAACTCACAAGAATAATTGTCAGGACAGAAGAAGGATTGTGCGATGTGAAGGCCAATTCGACAAACCCTGAAATCCCCTGCAGCTAAGAAAAATCTTGTTGGATCCCGTCATATCTCACTGCTGTCCCCGCTCCAGTTCGTTCGTGCCAGAAAAAAGACTCGCCACCAAAGGACATCACAGCTTTATTGAAAATGAGCGAGTGCAAAAGTTACAACGGCCCCGCGCCATTTAAAGTGCACTTTTTGGCATTGGCTCAGGCTGTCTGTTCGGCGTTTAGTGGACACGCGTCAACATCGACCGTGCTTCTATGACATGTCTGAACACTGATCATAGTCGGTCGTGCTTCTGTGGTGGGCCTGAACACTCATCGCCTTTTGCTAAATCGATTGGGCCTGGATGCTTGCCGGCTTCCCTATTGAGATTTTGGTGGAGTTTTAGGGGCTCAGTAGGTTCCGGGCATCCTGGGGTTAGTTTCAGGAATCTGACCTTCCGGAATCCTCTTGGCGTCCTATCTAAAGGGAAATCACAGTACCTTGTACAAACTGTGCTGGCCTCGAACCCAACCTAACTGGAACAGACACCAACTAAAGCTGTCATTATGCGTAGGCTGTGCAGAGAATGCTCGGTCTTCCTATTTCCCTGAATGGTGTGTCAAGCTAGTAGTTAGACGCAATCATCCTACGGCCAACCAGTCTCGTTTGGTTCACCTCGATAGCCTCTTCGAAGGGCGGGCCATTTTTAGTCACACTTGGGAGAGAACGAATCCCCCGGAGTTTAGCCATCTCACCAGGCCTCTCTCAGACTCATCTGCTCGATGAGCAGCGCCTGTGTGGGTCACATTCCTTGAACCATGGAATTCAAAAGTCACTCAGGCTGTACTTGAAGAAACGAAGGAAGTTTATGGCCTAAAAAAACAACATTATCAACGTATTACCAACACTATTGGTTGTTTACCTGTTCGAAAACACCGTAGGGTTACCTCTATCCAGTTCTCGCCTGAAGATCCCCGAAACAAGTACTGTTCTTCGAGAAATACACTCATTTGCAAATCAATTTGGTTTTCACGAGAGACTCAACTGAATCTCTCGTTTATGATATTCTACAAATGAATGTGCTGCACGCATGTTTGGGTTCGCACGATATTCGGGATATCGCAGCACATTTCCATAAAGGGGACTACTCACAAGGTTGTTGATTCAGTTGAGTCTCTCGTGAAAACCAAATTGATTTGCAACTGAGTGTATATCTCGAAAACGGTCCAATTTGGGTACAAGCAGAACATAAGGTTGATGGAAACTCGGGGACTGCGCCTACCTGATGAGCCCCAAGGAAGGTGAAACCGGTCGTGGGCTGTCGAAGAGGTTTTCAGCATCTTGTGAGTAGTTTCTTTTACGAAAACGTGCTGTTCTTGTTTATATCACGGTCGCTCGTATGAAAACGGTAGCCGAATGGCTTTTGTATCCCCTTTTCAACAAGAATTTACGAACGTGGATCATACTAAAGTAATGAGCAGTGCACATATGTCTCAGGCCTTCTTATTTGATGAAGCCCGCATATCTCCACCGTAGTATCTTCACACTGGATTAAAATCCCACCTGTCTGAAGAACCAACAGCTTCTGGTGAGATTTGTCGAGCCCAACACAGTGAAACATCACTCCTCTATAAGTACTTCACGATCAGGTGGATGTCCTTTAACTGGGTTAGCTCTAACTAGGCGCGCGCTGCGTGATTAGCACGTGACGTGAACACTGACGCATCTGTGACAAGCCGAATCCCCGGTGCTAGGATTGATTTTATTTTGTGTGATATGTGATTACCTGCTTAGAAATCCACCTGGAACGTTCTTCAATCAAGTTCCCGGCTTCAGTCAGCATCCACCCTAGTAGACTGAAGATGTTTCCTTACAAAATGGCGTGATATCTGACAGTCTAGTAGAAATGTTATACCGGTGAGGAATATTTACGTGTTGTTTGTATCTTGGTTGCGCGAAATGAAAATATTGTACGAAACAGCTGTGTTCCGACATTTTTTTTTTTTTTGGGGGGGGGGAGGGTGAGGAGGACGTTTCGACGTGTGCTGAGGTCCATCTGTAACATCTGTGTCGATCAGACGATGGAACGTTCCGAAATATATTGGAGTCTTTAAAGTTGATATTACAAGAAATGTGGTTGAACGCTTCTTCCTGTTTATCGGTGCTCTAGCCCAGGAGGGAAAAAGTTACTGGAAAGGAGAAGATTGTTGTAAATCTGTGGAAGGCGAAGAGGAAGTTGGTGACGTGTCGTGTGGTCCAGTGTCAGATGGCTTAACTTCTGTGTGAGATGCCCATCTATTACCCGCTACCTCCAAGTACACATCGGGTCTAAGAAGTCACACGCAATTACATGTCAGGCTACCAACAGATGGTGTGTGTCATCTCACTTACGTGCAAACGTTTAGGTAGATCTGTCGGGGTGCCGAGATCTTTCAGTGGTTAGAGCGCCAACTTATACTGATTCGAACCAAACCCCAGCTTTTCGACTAATCCTGTAGTATAGGCTTGGGCAGGCTGGCAATATCTTTGCCATCATGCTTCTTTCGGGTAGCATAGTAACTGGTATTCGGGTTTCAGGTGTGGGTAACTTCTCGAACGGTGAGGCGTAGACCAACAGTTCGTGAAATGTACTCACCTTCACACCGATTTGGTTTTCACTGGGAACTCAACTGAATCCCAGCTGAATCTCTTGTCTGCCATATTCTCCAATTTAATGTGCTGAACAAAGACCGCCTCGTATTCCAAGTATTCAAGTTGTTGCAGTATATGTTCCCGCAAGAAACTACTCACAAGGTTGCTGAAAACTATTCAGCAACCCGCGATCGGTTTCAACCTTATCGGGATTTATCAAAGGTGAAATCGGTCGTGGGCTGTCGAAGAGTTTTTGACGACCTTATGAGTATATAAGGTCTAGACAACAACATATCGTGATATCCCGTATATCGCATCAATTGAGAAATGAGGCGGCCTGGTGCAGCACATTCATTTGCCTAAAAACATCACAAACGAGAGATTCAGCTGGGTTCCAGGTGAGTCTCTCGAAAAACCAAATTAGTTTGCAAATGAGTGCATTTCGCTAACTTCGTGCAATTTGGTTTCAAGTAGAACATAAGGTTGACGGAAACTCGGGGACTGCGCCTATCTGATGAGCCACAAGAATGGTTGTCGGAGAATTTTCAGCAACCTTACGAGTAGTGCATCACGAATATACACGTACGATATCTCGAATATCGTAGCGACTGAAACACAAGGTGGCCTGGTGCAGCACATTCAGTTGAAACGGGTCATCACAAACGAGAGATTCAGCTGGACTCATTTCAGTCTCCTATCAAAACCTAACTATGTGAGTAGTTTCCCCAAGAAACAAACAGCTTCCTAAAATAGTAGCTCTGGCTTCAGTATATTATATACTGTTCGGTTGTTCTGTTGCCGGTAACCGTGACTACTTCCAAGTTTAGTGAACTGGTAATAGGGTTTTCTGTCTATCAGAAAATGCACATTGGTTATGTGTCGTGATAATAGGGCCTTATCGCAGTTGAAAGGAAAATCACGGTGGGAAAATTCCGCAAAAAGTAATCTGTTTAATGTTGTTCCTCTTAAATTAGTTAACAAACGCGTGAGATTAGCCTTCCTGGAACCTTGTAGAGAGACCATCAGTCTGGTTAATCTCTTGTACCGTCTGAAGCCGCCTTTTCCCCACAAAGGCGACCAGATCTAACTATTCAGTGCTGGTGATCAAGATGAACTTGTTCAATGATCGTTACAGTTAGACCGCCCCCCCCCACCCCGACGGGTCCTCTGAACATTCAGTTCTTTCCACTTTTTAACAAACAAGATCGTAATTCTCGTACTGAGATTATTTTGTCGCAACCTGTTGTCAACCGCTTAGTTCCTGATAAAACCCAGGTCAACTCCTCGAAAGTACTGACTCCTAACTGCAACATTCTTCTATCGTCTCGTACCTAGAAATGTGAAGGTTTCTGTTCTTGACGTAGCATTTCGTTTCGCGCACACTAACCGTCGCTGGTTTTCCTCTTGATCTTTCCCCATTAGTTGTCGTAGTGCCAAACGAAAACGAGAACTTGAATGGATTCGGTTTCGGACTGACTGTGGCCAATCACATACGACAAGGACGCGACTGGCCTGAGACAATACTGTTCCCACGAGTTGCCTACTGTCGTGTTCCAGGAATTCGTCTGGTCGGTGTGGAGAACACGTACACGGCTCAATGCGCACTGCCGATCAATATGCTGAACGAGAAAATCTATATTTTCTTCTGGTTCTGGATCATGTTCCTCATTGGTGCTTGTGTCCTTAGCCTTTGCATCTGGTTGGTCAGAATGGTGATCGCGCCACGAAGGAAAGACTTTATCAAACGTTTCTTGCGAATCAAAGGTGTACTTTCCAGACAAGGCACGCAAATAGGTCGTGCGGATTTGGATGACTTCATTGACGTGTATCTTCGTCGGGACGGTGTCTTCTTGGTTCGCATGTTGGCTTTGAACGCAGGAGAAGTAATCACCGCGGAGATTGTTACTGTCCTATATAACAACTATGTCAAACACATCGAGGAACACGAGGCTACTTCGAGTGTTGAGGATGAAAAGGCCGCACTGGCATCGAAAGAAAACCCACCTAGCTATGTCTAATTCAAATTAAGTGTATCACTCCAAAACACTACTCGATTGCTCAATAACACTACTTCAATGATTTTACACACCTGGAATTGGCTATTTTTACACGCTTTGTAGTACTCAAACCAGCGCGAACTTCATTGCCATTTTGATACGTTTTAGTGTTTTGGGTCAGTAATAAATCTAATCAATACGGGAGGTGTCTTATTTCTGTTGGAACAAGGTGGTAGAACCGCTGGGAATTTGACGAGACTTGGGAAGTGCCGCAGAACTGTTTCATCCTTCTGAGGAATCATCAACACTGTGCACTATTAGTGCACTGTTGATGATGGCCACGATACAATTCAGAATGTATATGCACTAATAAATATTTTTAGTATAGTTGACAATGGTGGAATGCCACACGTATAAAAATAGATACAATGCGAAATGGGAGCAAGTCAAAACAGCAACTTATCGTCTGTTCCTTGGCGAAACTCCGGACGGCGGGAACGTGTTTTCTCCGCAGTATGGCTGCTACACGTGTTCCATAATTGTCCGTGGACTTGTGGAGACTGATTGACTTCCTGCTCCCTGCGTGCGTGCGCGAGTCTGTGTGTGCTAACTATGTTCGGTTTTCCCCATATGTAGGTCCGTTTGCGTGTACGTGGGTGTCAGCACTGAGCTGTTGCCACGCTCACTGGACGCTACAGACAATCGATGTCCGATGATTCACCTTAATGTGACGTGTTTGTGAGCATGAAAAAGGACAGGTCTCGTGATCCAGTGAGCGACTATGAGCTTTACAGTCAAGTATGTGGGTGACTGGGTAGCTACAGCACCATTTGAAACTTCAGCGGTGAGTTCCGAAGCCTCCCGGCCAGTGGCCGACTACTACTTGGTTGTTCGACCACTAACGGCTAGTCCGCAGTGCGATTAGCTTCCACCCAGACGGGATGCGGCTCAGAGGATACGTGATTTCCACTCAAAAAGTCGCCGCTCTCAGAAGCAGTCTATACTTGGTCATGTGATGTGGATGAGTGACGCAACATCTTATCTAATTGACAAGTAACCAGGCTTTCTGGGCGAAACATTTAGGTAGTCAAACTACCAGCCGGGAGGTTGTGGGTTTGAGACTCACTACGGGAGCTACGTGAAATACACTGTGCTGATGATCTTAGCTTCTCTATCAGGATGGGATCTCCATTGATCTAACAGAACTGTCATGAATTACCAGGCGATCACAGGGGGGATACGCATCAACGCCACACGATGCAGTGTTGACGAGCCGGTGTACATCCATTCACAAATAAGTTCATTCCTCAGCAGTCAATAAGCCAATAGTTAAAGTCTTCCAGCGCCATTACCGAGCCAATCGTTGTCTGAATCAACTGAGGACGAGGCTGTTTTCCTCCTCTCGACTAATTTATATACGCTTGAATCCTTGTTCAAGATTACCAGGGTTCCAGTCATCTACACATGAGATCTTTTGGTGTCATTTGGATTGACTTTTAACTTATAATAACGAGCTTCTGATGGCTAGCTTTCACGCCACGCGAAAGAAGCACGAAGGCTGAGATAGCGTCTAGTTGCTTAGGCCTAGAAGACAGGAGCTGTCGAGATGCCAGGGTTGGGTTCGAACCACAGACCTTCCGGTCATTGCATTCGCACTCCAAAACACTGCCCAACTAGGACATGCATAAATCCAAACAGCTTTGTTTGCTACAGTTATCGGCGTCATGAATTTTTACAACCACATGGTTTTGAAGGGAACGGGTGTCTTGGTTGTTTGCCTGCTGATCACATCCTGTATTTCTTGGTGTAAGCATTATTCAAGAACAGCTGATTGGTGAAGGTCGGACAGCTCATGTCACATGCGGAGTCAGCCGGAAGAAGTCACGTGGGGTCGAAAAATCGAATGGAAGCGAGTTAAATTGATCGATTCTTAGTCATAAGCCTAGAGGCGTGAAATTAAAAAAAAATCATGTGTATTCCGGAATATACCCGGGGGAACTGCAATATAACTACTGTGCGCAGAATGAATAACACTCAGTTCGAACTCGAAGTTTATTAAAGCCTGGTATAGATGAGAGATGAGAAAAGACTGACCTACTGCGATGTTTGTCATTAATCGTTTTTGTGTACATAAGGGGATGAGATTAAATGTGCTCATATCGACAGGTTTTGCAATCGGAAACAATAGAAGAGGGGATCCAAGAGGTGGCTTGGGTCCATCGGTTGTGTAGATATTGCGCTCCTTGGAGAGTCAGGATAGGGTCAGTATCGCCGTTTGAGGATACGTTCACCGATTCGTGTTCCAAGAAACCTCGTCTTTCGGCCTGGGACAAGGGTACTTCGGCTACAAGAGCAAATTTTTCTACCCTTATTTCGGTGTTCGTATTTTCATGATTTTGTGCGAGATCTAGCCTTACAAATGTAGTCCAAAGTTCATCTCAATAGGTTGGACGACTTACCTGTTGCTTTTAACAGCGTGTCATACAATGCCTAACTGAGGCCACGAAAGCCACCAACCCAACTCAGTGAAGAGTGATCAGCATTCCAACATTTGATTGGAGCTGATTCTGCACGGCCCGGTCTTCACATGATCACAGATGAGCCATATCGATCGACTGATACGGCCGTTCGTTTGCCTGTCAGCTTGGCCCACAATGTGAGTCATCGGTAATGTGTTTTTTGAGATTAAGTGCAACGAATGCGTTTTGGCTGCGGACATATGCACCTGCACAATTATCTTATGAGATTTCCAGAGTTCGGTCAAACTGTTTGGAAACCATGACCTGCCTCGACGCCTGTGACGATCTTGCTGTATGCCCTTGAGTGACCGATATCCTCACTGAACTATCGGTCCGCTATCCGAAGAGGACGCTTCCGAATTTGTCCGCTGATGAAAAAGATGTGCTATTGGATTGCACACTTGAAATTGTTAATTAGTCACTGTATTTTGCGTACCTATTAATAATGGTGGATCGTCAAAGGCAGCGAAATCAGGTTTGACACATACGCTTCACTGCCTTACAAGGTTTTTGTAACAGAGAAAATACAGGATGGAGAAGCAATCTGGTGCTAGCTTACACCTTCAAATGCTCAACCAGACAAACTGGAAAGAGCTCAGTAATACGCACGTGAATAACGTCTGTCGGAAGCCATTCTCTTCAACCTCTTCACCCAAGCGCAAGGGAGTCACAGGGACCACAGCAGCAATACCCGAATTCCCCTTAATTCCCCACACCTCTCTGCCAAGTCATAGGCTGTCAACCTCGCAGTTTACGCCATTCTGAAGGAGACAGAAAATAACACTTGACTCCATGGAGCCTCCGCAGTTGATGATGCTGGATGTTCTCTGTTAATAAAGTGAGTGCTGCGCAAATACATACCTGTATTCTGATTATCCAATTACGAATTCACAGGCTCCGTCTGATACCAGCAGTGTCTCTGAGACATCGGTGATCAAACACCCGAAAATTGCCTTAGATTATCGATCTGCAACGACCATGTCTAGTAACTACCGTCATCATCATCATCACCATCATCATCATCATTATCATCACCATCATCATCATCATCATCATCATCATCATCATCATCATCATCATCATCATCATCGTCATCATCGTCACCATCATGGCAGAAAGACATTATTGTTCAACACCGATGTTTCACCGCCCTACATTGATTATTTATTTGAAAGCCTTAAGTGAAATAAAGAGTAGAGGTGGACGGAGTGGGGGCTTAGTGCTAAGTTGCTACAGTCACTCCTAATCGCGCACGCCTCCAGACGCTCATCCAGGCATTCTGGATGGAAACTGATATGAAGAACGCCACTGACGTCGAGTTGCAGCCAAATTTTGCAGCGCCTCCAACCCGGTGCATTGAGACCACATCATCCGCATTCTGAAAGGCGAGTAGCTTCGACAGTATACAAATGTTTCATGATCTTTTCATACCCTTTTGCCAGACCAAGGATAGGCCACCTTTCTGCTTCCACCACACTGAATCAGGCATGGAAAACTTCATTCTCTGCGGCAAACGTTGGTTAGGCATGTGCAACACATGACGCCACCAAACCAGATTTTGGTGCCTGACAAATTCTTCAGTGGAACTACCCGTTGCACAACCGAGAACTCGCTTGCTAATCGCCTCGTTACGGATTCGCCGACACCAACCCAAAGGATTGGTGAACGATTGTTGAACACATGGAGACGTCTCAGTTCTGCTGCTCGAACAGGCCAAGTCTCACAGCCATACAACAAAACAGTCCGTACTGTAGCTTGATACACACGTCACTTGAGATTCAGGGGTAAACCGTTTTGACGCAATGGGTGTCTCAAATTAGCATACGCGACCCAAGCCTGGCGGTTTAATGCATTTACCTCATCTGTCACGCTACAATCGGAACTAATACAACTTCCAAGATACGTAAAACACTCCACAATTCCCAGTGCCTCTTCCTAGATTGTAAGTGGCGTATTCAGTGACTGTATGTCCAGGAGCATGATCTTACACTTTGTGGGTGCAAGGTGCATACCAAAGAACTTTGGTCAGTTCATTCAACTACACCTGCGCTTTCTCCTCCTCTTCGCAGATGAGAACGACGTCCCGCAACTATACAGCAACGGAGTCCGTAAGATGGCCTTGAGACTTGGCGCTAAGGCTTCTTGACAAGACAAGGTCTTTGCACAGTGTTTTGTATCACCGTGAGCTGCCTTTCGATCTAAAAAGGGCAAATCCTTATCTTTTGGAGGCGCAGGATCCAGCATATCTTGCTGGTAAAAACGCTCCAGGTATTTTTTATTAAAATCACATATTATCGTGTGATTTACAAAGGGATGTTGTGTACCACATCTATACAATGTCCAACCAAGTGATGTTTTGATAGCGAATGGTTTGTCTAGTCTGCCTTTCCGTTGTTCCTCTATCGAATGAGCCTTAGGTACATCGAATCCGAGGAAAATATCGATCTTGGTGTCGTTGTATTAATCGAATGGGACATCCTTGCTAGCTGGTAGTCGTCCGGAACAATTCGGTTAATTTCAGGAAGGTTCTTCACAACCCATGCTCGTCGAACACAGATTGATTCATTTGAACCCGAACAATCTACATCAAACCTCAGTTCTGTTGACCGAAGAGTTTTATCGTACGTCACTGTTTTCAAGGTGAGTTTGGTATGCTGACCATGCAACTTTAGTCTTGTCGCAAGGGCTTGAGAGATGAATGAGGGATCCGAGCCACTGTCGAGAAAGGCGCTGCTGGTACTGCTGGTTCGAGCTCGATTTCTGACGATAACTGGAACGATCGCAAGAGCTACACAGCGCGAGGAAATACGCGGAAACGCTTGATTGGAATGATGTAGAGAAGTGCGATGTGATGATACGCTTGGTTCTTCATCCGTCTGAACGAAATTTAAATGTAACAAATGGTGGTGACCACCGGTGCATCCGTTGAGAGAGCCTGTCTGAACGAAATTCAAATGTAACAAATGGCTGTGACCACCGGTGCATCCGTTGAGAGAGCAGACTGTTCGCGACCTGCAGAATTTCGAGACATGATTCGGGCGTAGGCACAAATGGCACAGTTTACAGCTTATTACGATTTCGCGACGTTTTTCTGATGACTCTGCAATGAATTGCGCACATTGATCAGGAAAATGGGCTTCAGCAGAGATACTACAGCGAGGATCGATACCGGTGTAACGGTGATACTACTGATAGGGAGGCGGGCGAGTAGTTTGTGTTGTTTGTGGAATTTCGCTTTGCGTCTTTTGAAAAGGGGAGCTCTGTTGTGGAATTCGTGGAGCCACTTTGTAACATTTGCTTGGGTTTGACCAACGAATGAGTGGAGTCAATGAATCTCCAGGAAAGTTCAAGAAGACGTGTTCGGGAGAAGATGGGTGTCGATTTTTTGTAAATAGGATGCAGATTAGAGTTTTGTTTCCTTGTTCAATGGTCTGTAACCGGTCAGTTGACATTTCCTAATAAATAGCTCCACAGCAAAGGCCTTCTTCCTTTCAACGGTACGAGGAGCTAACGTTTGAGTGGAACGAATATGTCTACCGTGTATCTGACCGGATAGTGGTGGCTTTTTTCCTCGCTCGTTCCTCGGACGCTAGACTGAGAGCAATTACGCCGCAATCCGAACACAGGCTATCAAAACGTGCTTCAATAAAGGCAGCGAGGTCAGTAACTTCTGGCTCACGATCTTCTCGTCTGATGTTAGCGACAGCTTTGGCCCATTTGAAACGAAGTCGAGAATGTAATCTTCGTACAACGGTCTGAATCGTACGTTGGGAACGAAGATCGGTTGAATAATCCATTTCTCCTAATGTTACCTCACACACGGTTAGCTGTTGTGCCAACTCAGAGAGGGCGGGCACTGTGGGGCCCAGTGATCAGATCGTCGATAAACGCTCGGGCTGTCACCAGATTGTACTAAACAACCCAGGCGAGCCTCATCGTTTCGGGTACGGTCTCCAATAGTACTGCTGAACGTTTTCATGAAGGCCCAATACTCGTTCGCGTTCCCATTAAAGCGTCGCAATTCGGGCTTCGGTTATTCCAGTCGCCTTTCCAGGGCGAATCAACTGGATCTGATTGAAATTCAGTGTGCGACACACATTAATCCTGATTGCTCCTTTCGGATTTCACTTCCGAAACTTTCTGCAGTTCAAGTTGACTTTCCAACTCCCTGATACGCAGACGTGCGAGCCTGAGCTCTATATGGCGATTATCCGATGAATGTACTGCATCATGCTCTGTAGCAGAAGCGTTACGTGGAGGACGTAATCCGTCGTCAGACTGCGGCATCTTGAATAATTTTGGGTTTCACTTTGAACCTAGATGATCGATGCAAGTTATGCGGCTGAGTTACTATCCGAGTACAGGCACCCAAAGTCCTTTGTTAAGTCGGGAAGAGTGTCGTTGTATTCGGTATGGTTTTGTACTAGCAACAAATAAACAACGGTTATTGATTGAATAGAAGTGTCATAGCAATGATTCAATACGAACGTACATTCAAGATTGTAACACAGGGGTTTGTGCAGATCCGACGTCAAGGTCAAGGAAAATGCAGGCGAAGTTTATAGTCTAAACACTGTCTGAAATGTGGAATGGGAGTCATAAGTGTCGGTAGGTGTGAAGGAATCAACAACCGTTCACCGAACGTTACGTTTACGAATAAATGAAAAACTGGTTAGTCATCCGATGTGATTGCACCACTCAGACTGCATGGATGAGTCTCTTTGTGTATGTGTTTCTGTGTTTGACTCACTGCGACAACCTCGAGAAGCGATATGTGAACAGAAGCCATCCACGGAAGTCACATTTGGGCGATCGATATTGGATTCTGGTTTCGCGTCCGCTCCCATTCTCAGTTGTTTGTATGCGGTAGACACAAGTTGGATGCTCGCCAGTTGCCGGAGCTTTGGTACGCAGGAGCTCCGGGCATGATGGAGTCTCTTCCACTGCGGATGAACGTACTCAGGGCTCCGTTAGACTTAGTTACACATCATTTGTGTTAGAACACCTGATTGGATCAACCGGCATCTTGTATCACCTTGGCTATTTCACAGACAGATTCTAGAATAGTTATGACTTGAAAGAAGTGGTACATTAGCCCGGATTATTCCACAATCTCGTACTGTGAACTTTTGGAAACCGGTAATAACAGTGAACTAACTTAAATGCAGCTTCATTACAAGCTAGCAATGGAAACGATCCCTTCACATAATGGAAACTCTTGAATCCGTGCCCCACGGCCGTCAGATTCTAAGTATACTTATGATTTGAGAACTTGTGATTGTTCAACTCAGAGGAAATCATAATGCATGATTGTGGAGTGACCTTTTGGAAAACACGTCACTCTATATCAGCGCTGAATCTAGTAACGTCATTTCCGACCGACCCGTTCAAGTCATCTAATCGAGCTAATCAAGTTTAACGGTTTTTCACCAATCGTCCTTGAGATGAATGCCCTGACTCTGCATCAAGTACTATACGCAGAATAATTTCAGCTGCCTCTTTGGAACCTAATTTGCATCAAGAGTTCAAACAGATTTGTCCTTTTGCTGTGCTTTTTGGTGCGTGACGCGCTCGGAATGAATATATGCTAATCATCTATCGTAGACGGCTTAGAACATATGATTCAAATAGTCTAACTTTGTGTAGTCTCAAGGTTTTCCACTACGTGTTGGATGACCTGAGATATGCGTGTTTAGATTTGCACAGATTTGCACGGGTTGGTTCCGTATGTGTGTGTGTACAATTTTTAACTTTCGGTCTGAACCCCGACAACATTCTGGAAATTCTGACGTCTTCTGGATGCAACACTGGCAAACGGCATTCGGCGAACAGTGGGTCATGATTGGCTGTTGGGTCCAGACTTACGACCAATCAGAGCTCGCCTTGATGCTAGACAGGCAAGCGGCCAATCTACTGTGGGATAAGCTTCTCTGCCGTATCCGTGCCTAGCTGCAAGAGGTAAAGCGGTATCGGTGTAGAATTCCGCCCAATAGTGTGCGACCAGTGTAGTTCAAAATCCTATGCTTGACTGAATCTTTCTGTTCTCGCTCGATAAAACCGCACTGCCGGTCCACGGTCTCACCACGAAGCCTTCGAAATGATCGTCGGCTCTTTACTGGCTAATTTGTACATTGGACGTCTCGTCAATAGGGACGTAACAAATTCTTCTTTGGTTCCAGAATGCTAGGGCGAGAATTCCAGGATATAAGGGTATCTACCTCGCTGGATATAATGTAGCTTAGGCGTCGGTCTCCTGCCGATTGTCACCAAGACTAGCCAATAGCAAAGCTCGCACGAAACCGAGGGATGAAACGGGGCTGATTAGATGGAAAATGTTAGAATTAAGCGTGACATTGGAACTATGTGTTCAGTTCAGCCGGGACAAATTGAGCGCAACTATCCTAAAATCGTCTGGCTGAGGGGAGCGGGGAACCTGTTCCCGTGACCTGTTTGGTCTTGTTAAGCAGAGTCACATCCGGCTTAATTGAGCAGAACTGTCCACCAAAAAGTTGTAAAACACGGTTCACTGCCTCATTCTTTTTGCATCACCCTCTTCCACATGGTTGATGTGAATTTGCGTGCTTCACTTACGAAAGTGCCAGTGATCTACGAGTAAGCTGTTGGCGTCCAAGCAATGAGGTTCACGTGGTTAGTCACCAAACCGCTCTGCCCGAACCTCCAACATGAACATGTCTGATGGAACGATGGACGTGGAGAGAGGTGGTATACTGACAGAGAAGGAAAACGATCAAACCGGCAGTTGCATTCAAGGAAGATGGGTATTCGGAAGGACTCAGTTCTAGAACAGTTAGCTCATGCATTGCCGTAGGATATGAGCAAGGATAGGTCGGATCGCTAAATACGTGAGGTGCTGAATTTGTGCTAGGTTTTCTAACGCCAAACCTCTCACTTGATACGTCCATGCGTACACAACCCAAATTAATAGCATGCTGCATTATTGACTTTCATTGGTTACGGTTACGGCAATATACATTGGGTTTTATCGATCGGGGCGGCTAGGCCTTCCACCCGGCAGTTCTTGACGCTATTTTCTTCACTCAGTGTAGTCGGCTGTTTGTACGGAACTGTGGTCATTGAAATTAGCTTGTACGTAGGAATCATGGAATGAAACACCACCGTTCCCCCCCAGAAAGCTTCTACTCAAAGGAAGGAGAGTACCATTCCTTCAGAGAAAATAGGATGAACAATTCCTTGTTAGTCTTGTTCAACGCTGGAAAACCTGGTTCATCATCAACCATTTTCAGCGACAACCTATTCAGACTGTCCGAATTTTAGTGAGTTTGCTGTGGGTCGTTGAAGTTCGTCAAATGAAAATCTACGTACTGTGTGCTGGCTGTTCTCCCAACGCAAAGATTTCCCATTCCGTTTGAGAAAGTTTCGACCGAACAATGTAACCGTTCAGCTGTAGCACCCGTTCGGTGTCTAACTGTCATGCCACCCGAACGATGCACAAGGTCTGGGATACTGCCAGGTTGCCCAAGCCTAGACAGGGGAAGTCGAGAGACGGAGGTCGGGTTCGAACCACAGACCTTCCAGTGAGTAACGCTGTAGCAATCTTCCAGTTACGCTGCTTCTCCATCTGAAGGGGCGCGAGCAACTTTGTCTTATCTTAGAAGGGGGGGGGGGTCCTCACCTGAGAATCGATTTGGTCTATCGTTTCCCGACAGGTAGATAAGCTACTCAGGTTCTGAAAAGGATCTGTTATGTCCATCTGCGTGTCAAAGTATGATTTATTGATTCCAGCTTTTTGAACGATCTGGTGGGAGACGATGTGCGTGGATCAACACAAAGTATTCCTTCACTCCACGAATATGGTACATGAAATTTTTGTTTCTCAAGGAGAGGTGAGTTTCAACTTGACTTTGGTTCTGCAACAAGTGAAAGAACATTTTATGTAGGATAAAGAATTGAACTCAACGAATGAAACTGCTCATTATTAGAGGGTAGTCACTGTAGAGGGGTACGCCAGAGAGGAGTTTAACAGTGTAGCCCTTTTTGTGTCTATTTATTGTTCTGAACAATCGAATGTTACCCCGTTTCATAGCTTTAGGCACTTGGTTACGATAAGCCAAAGGGGGACCAATCGTTTGAGGTAAACTGCTGAGTTCCTGGGTGAAAGTACGGACGCAGGACGTGTTCTGTTTGCATTATAGCTGCTATATGTGTTCTTTAAGTGACCGTGGATTTTAATTGACTTCCTACCCTCCGCGCGCGCGCCTTGACTGTGTTGAGGTGTGTATAATACATAGTATCGCTCGGACGCGTGCAAGACGGGAACGGACATGCTTTAGGTTGCCAGCGGGACGAGGTTTTGTCAGGGGATTTTAGCACAACCCGTTTGTGCGATCCAGTGAGCACGGATGTGATGTAGACAAACTAAGCGAAGTTGGTTGGAGGTAGAGACCGCCAGAACCCCTTTTAAAGTCTATTTTTCAGTTACTGTTGTCCAGAGATTGCAATGACTGGAGAGCCAACCTATTTACTTTCACAATTTGCCGTTGACCAAAAGTAAGTAAACATGTGGTGCCACCTGAGGCTGAAGCTCCATTTTTTGCGAAATTTTGGTAGAAAATCCACGGTTACTCTGAGTCAGTATTGAAGTCGCATTTTTCTACCGCAGTGAAATGATTTCAGTCGGCTCTTGGCGGAAATTTTCTCAAGTATGTACTTTTAGGCCATAGAACTTTCAGTTATTCGTTTTTGGCCAACTGCCTGTTCTTTCCAGAAGCAGTAACGGAACGGCTATGATGACTTTACTCATCAAAAACTGCATGGCACTGTTAGTAGTGTGAGGGATTTTTGGAAGTTTGATGCGGATTTTTTCTCGTTCTTTGAAAAGCGTGTATCAGAACTGAACCTAATGACTGGAACACGTCAAACAAGGTGGATCCCGGTGGATCCTCAAAAAAATGGATGAAATTTACAAAAGATGTGACTATCAAAATATCATTTTTAGGGAAACTTCCTACTTGTATTTTACTTCTTAAAAAATCTCTCCTCACTGCGCATTGATGGATGAGGCTATCCAGCATAATTCAATTCTGAATTCAATTTGACCGTAATCACTTTCAGGAAGTAGGAAATTAACCGATGATTGAGTCTATTGTGGTGAAGTTTTGTCAGGGTTCAGTTGAATCGGGTCAACTGAGTGTTACTCAACACTGGGTACGGAAAGCGAGTGAGTGTTGGATGAGTACAGAGTGATAACCCAATGGTACTAAATGAGGTGAGTGGTGTTCACCAACGGATCGATGAATACTGTTCCGCATAAACGTGGAGAATGATAACTCACCGATCGAACTTCATATCTCCCCGGCCCCAGAAATGGGTTGTCTGCAGCAAATGAGGGTGGAGAGGTTTGTAAGTCTGTCTTATTAAAAGAAGTTAGTCCTCCAATGACCGAAGCGTCAAAATATACGAGTACTGTTTTGAGAGGATGGTGTTGTAGTTAGAGTAGTGCTCATTCTTGATCCACTCCACATCATAATCGGATTTGAAGGTGGCACTTAACAGAAATTCTCAACGGTGAGTAGTACTCTTGCCGAGAAACTGGTTAGACTTGAAAATTTGACTGTAAGCTAGTGACCTATATCGCCAAACATTCGGTGTTTACACCCGAGCGATGGATTCACTAAAATACGAGATCGATTACTTGTTTGGCTGGACGCAACAGCACGCGGTTGGATGTCGAAGAAAACAACGAGCGTGTGAAGGCATTCGGATTAGAACCCCATTCTCCAATCGAAGACTAATTCGATTCAAACAGAACCCTTGATTAGGTCCTTCCAAGAGTGAAATTGAGTGTCCAGAATCTGGAACACACTAGCGAGGACACCAAAGTTTGCAATAAACCCACCGTGTGTTCAGATGCTAGTTCCCACGCTTGGAAGAAATGTACTATAGTTTTACTTGGTACGGGTACTGAATAACCTAGCATTTATACTCACTAATATGGATAAAAAGTGTTAGTAGCTAAGGCAGTTTACTTGATCGGTGGTTCGCTTGTTCCCTGTGCTTGACAGTTTGATCGCAGACGTTTCTTCACTAACGGAGGTGACATGCGCTTTGCACCTATAAAGTGTAAGGTCATGATTTGGTATGCGAAATTAGTGAACACTGCGTTTACAACCCAAGGAGGGGTCTTCGAAGTTGTGAAGCGTTCCGATTGTAGTGTGACAGGCAAAGTCAATGCACGAGTCTCCAAGACACAGGTGGCGTTCGCTGGTTTGAAACACCTATGGCGGCAAAGCCGCAACCTACGAACCTCAAGAGATCTGTTTCAGGTTACAGTACGGATTGTCTTGGCCTACTTGACCAGCCGAAACGGTTTTTGATAACCATTTTCTAAGAATTGTAGCTCATGTAGATTGACGCCGGGGAATTCACAATCAGGGAGCCACGAATCGAGTTCTAGGTGCAACGGGGATATCAAACCAGGAGTTTATCCAGCACCGAAATCTGTGGTAATTATGGTGATGATGATGATGACGATGATGATGATGATGATGACGATGATAATGATCTTGGTGAGTTCAAGGAATCAGTGCGTGGTTGAGTATCGATGAGTTTCTATTAAGTAGTAGATTCTAATTTATTTGCTTTGAGACGGTCACTACAGCGTACTAGTACAACGGTTGATAATACTGATGAGGCATGCTAGTAGTGTTTTACCATAAATCCTCTTTGCGTCTCTGGAAATATAAGATCTATTACGGAATTTGTGGAGTCGCTTGGTCATTCGTTATTGTGGGCTGTAATAACCGCGTACTCGTCGTACAGCGGTTGTAGCTGTCGCAGTTTCGTTCACCGATGATTTGAGGGGTAGGTAGCTGCGCATTGCAGGGGGGAGCTGATAAATTGGTGCATAAATCCAGCACTGTCAGTGGGTTGTCAAGTGGGAGGGGGGGTTGAAAAAGGAGCTATGCATTGAAGGCAATAGCTTGGTTGCACCAGCGCCATTGAGGGCGCGACTGGGCCATGTCTGACAACGTCTCCAGCCATTGGTGTGGCCCGTCTCGGGGTCCCCATCCAGGAAGACGGCAGTGACCAGCGCAGCTGAGTTTGCTCGTAATGGCTTTCACACTTCGCTGCCAGGTCATTGTTTGACTGCCTCTGTCTCTCTTCCACCCTTCACGTGGTTGTGCGAAAAGAGCCCTTCGAGGAATTCGGTCGACTGGCATACGCAGCACGTGGCTAAGCCAGCGCAACCCATGCAGTGTGATCAGTTCATCTATGGAGGGTGAGTTATTTCTCCCGAGTACCATTCGACGTACTTCAGAATTGCTGATTCGGTGTTCCCACCAGATTCGGGCAATGCTCCGAAGACATCGATGGTCAAACACTGAAAGTCTTTTGACGTCCTCGGCGCGCATTTGAGTAACAGTCACTGAATATCTGGGAAAGTTCAGGAAGACGCGTTCAAGGAGAAGATGGATATTCAGTTTTGTAAACAAGATGCATATGAGAGTTTTGCTCCCCTGTTCAATAGTCTGTAACTGTTCAGTTGGTGTTTCTCTAATAAACAACTCGGCAGCGAAGGCCTTCTTCCTTTCACTTGTTTTCGGTGGCCGTCTTCTAACAGTTTCCACTGTCATCCAGTAACGTGGCTTTGTCTCGGTTACGATTATCTAATGATCTGATTAGCTATTTGCAGGCGGACGGATGTTGGTGGATACGAAAGGAAGCGAAACTGATGTGATGTCCCAGTGTCAAGCACAAACGGTCGCTCTAGTCTATTTTGGAATAATGCTTGTACAGGTTTGATTTGCTTGTACGGGAAATGACCTCTACTAGCCCGGTAACTTAAGTAGTATAGTTGTAATTGCTTGTTGTAGTCACTTGGGTTTAAGTAACATGACATACAAGAACCAGAGTTGACCACAATGCCCTCAGACAATTGGCCATTCATGTTCGCTGTTTGAACTTTCTTCTTGATGGCTTCTATTTCATTGCTATCAACTGAGGGAGTCTGTCTCATGCCATGTAATTGTTTGGGCTCAGTGAAGTGTAGGTGAGGTTGACCAGCACACTACTAACCGCGCTCCGTGATTCGTTACAAGGCATGGAAGCATCACTTTATGCGAAAATCCAGCCTTTTGGTGAGCTGTATCACGAATGTCCATCCGAGGCAACCAATACGAAAGAACGTGGCTTTTTAAAACGCTTGTCCACCACGGTAAAGAATGAATCAGTTACCACCCCAAAACACTTTTTCAAATGCTTTAATTATTCTGTCAAGAAATATCTGGGGTCGAAATTACAAGACTTTAAATTTTGCCTTTCATTTGGCGCGATGACGGATCAGGTGCCTGTCATCTGTGAGACCAGCAGAACGGTAAAAATCGGTGACTTACCACTGTGACGGTGATACTACTGATGGGGGAGGCACGCGAGTAGTATGTCTGCTTCTTGTAAATTCACTTGAAAAAGGAGATCTTTGCGGAATTTGTGGACTCGCTTTGTAGCAGTTGCTTAGACTTGAGCAACACTCAATTGATATCCAGGAACATTCAGGGAGGCGCGTTCAAGAGAAGATGGATGTTTAGTTTTTGTAATTAGGATGCATATGAGAGTCCTGTTTTCCTGTCCAATAGTTCGTAACTGGTCGGTTGGCATCTTCCAACAGGTAGCTGCGCAGCGGAGGTCTTCTTTCTCTTACCAGTACTAACTCCCCTAACTGAAGGCGCATGGTCCGTCCCGTTAGGTTTTTACGGTGACCCTGAAGAGTTCAAAACCACAGTACCGATAAGATTGCCTGTTTGTCTCCACACCATCGATAAGCCGGTTCCAGGGGTGTCGTGTATGCGGACGTGAGCGAGCTTAACAAGGCGTGGTTTGTGAACACAAGGACCATGAAAAACCTGTAATGCATGGTGGATGGCACTTAGAACTGACGTGCTGTGACGAGATGATAAATGACACGTCGAATGAACACACACAAATACACGCAGCCCGTCACGCCCAAGTAGGTTCAGCACGCACAGGGACCTGAATATCTAAAAATCTCTGGACGACTAATCCCGACGTTGATGCAACCGATGCTGCATGTGTCATCCAGAAAACTGTAATCAGTGTAACACGGGTGGTGAATCGCCCTTGCGGAATTGGTCAGGGCATCTACCTAGCCGATGTTTCCTTCTAGGGAAATACACTCTTTTGCATACCAATGTGGTTCTGATCGGGAAAACTCACCTGGAACCATGCTGAATCTCTCGTTTGTGATATTTTTAAGCAACTGAACGTGATGCACCAGGCCGCCTCATATTTCAGCTGGCACGACATCCGAGATATATTGGACGTTGCTTAAAAGCATCATAAATGAGAGATTCAGCTAGGTTCTAGGTAAGTCTTCCGCCAAAACCAAATTGATATGCAAATGAGTATAGTTGTCAAAATCGGTCCCATTTGAGTTCTAGTAGAAAATTAGTTTGATAGAAACTCGGGGACCTCTGCCTATCTGATTGGCCCGAAAAGGGCAAAAGAGGTCGTGGGCTGTCGAAGATTTTTCA